GCTCGGGAACGCAGAAGCGCGCGTGCGGCTTCATGCGGACGCGGAACAGCATCAACAGCCTGAGAGCGCTCCATCACGCCCTTAATGTGCTGGACGGCCTCGGCCTGCGCCGGCGAGCATATCCCCTCGGGGGCCGCCCCACCGCACCCGCTCAGCCAGTTCAGGGTTGAGATGGCATCGTTGGCACGACGAGTGATGGCCTGACGACGAGCGACTCGTTGACACACGCCTCGGCTGAGCCCAGGACGGCGAGGCCCTTCCTCTGTCAGCGACGGCAAAGGGAAGACCTCAGGCTGCATCTTGAAAAAGAAGGTGAAGCTCAAGTAGGCGGCGAACGCGAACCTGAGCTGAAACACTGCGCCCGGAAGCGCTGCCCCTCTGAGGTAGAAGCGACTGGCAGCGGGGTCCCTGCCAGTCGCCGTCGCACAGCTAAGCGTCTGCCGCGCCTCCAGCCCCCTTCTTGGCGGCTGCCTTTGCCTTCGGGTTGGCGGTGGCTGCACGCACTTCTTGGGCCTTCTGGCGCTGCTTCTCGATCTCGGCTTTCTCTTTGGTACGGGTAGCCACGTGAGCGGTGAGGGCCGGGGCGATCCCCGCCGTCCGCTGCTGATGGCCTGACCACAGTTCCTCGTCCTCAAAGCGCCCCTCTCCAGGACCACGACTGGCCGCGTCCAGCAACAGCTGCATCCTCCTCGCCAACACCTCGAACGCGGCCAGCGACGCGAGGTTGAGCTGATCGTAGCACCCGGCGTGCTCCAGCAGGCGGCACATCGCCTGGAGCTCGTACGCGAGACGGTCCGAAGCAGCGATGCGGTTCTCGACGAGATACTTGTGGTACCACTGCATCGGGGAGCCTCCAGTCCTCTCAATGTTCTTCGCCATCCAAAGCATGGTGCGCGGGCCCTCGACGGGCCAGTCCTCATAGAAGCTCTCGTGCATCTTGGCGACGGCCTCCTTCCACGAGCGGAACCTCTCGCCCTGCTCGTCGTACTGCACGGACAGGGTCCTGGCGTCGTCAAGGTCCAGCTCAGGCGGCGCGTTCACAGGGGCAGGCAGAGGAGGCTCAGGTGCCGCAGGCCCGTCGCAGGGCATAAGCGCGGCAATGTCCTTCCAGCGCCTGGCCCCAAAACCAGGCACGTCGTCCACGTGGAGGCGGTAGAGCACCACGACGCCCTCGGCGGTCCGACCCGAGGCAGGGGTCGCGGCGACGCTCACCAGCATCCGATCCCCCAGCCTGCGGGCGTCCTTCTCGGCGAGGATCGTCGCGACGGTGAACTCGGTGCCGAGCGGGAACGAGGAGTTCGGCTCGCCGACGACCCAGCGGTAGTCCTTCTCGTCCTCCACGGTGGCGGTCGCCTCGGCGGCGACAGCCTCCTCTCGGGGTGGAGGGGTCTGGGTGCCCCCCTTGTCGTCGTCCTCGTCCTCGGGCGCATCCAGCACAATCGGTGGCGCCTTACCCCGCCCGCGGCGGGCAGGAGCACCTCCCAGCCGCCAGAAGTCCTCCAGCGCCAGCACGCGCCCGTCCCACTGCTGCGTGTGAAGCGGCGCGGGCAGCGGCGCCTCGCCAGCGGCGAGCGCCTGGCGCGCCAAGTGCCGAGCCTCGATCACCTTCTCGCGGAGCTCCCGGGCGCCGATCTCTCGTCGGAGCCGGTACCTCGGCGAGGCCACGTGCCGAGGCACCCCGCCACCAGGCGCCAGCACGATGAACTCCTCGACGTCAGGGCCTGACAGACGCTCAGGCATCTGGTCGCCATCAGGGGACTCCGTGATCCACTCCTCGAAGCTCACCGGCCACAGGCACACGCGCTCGTGCAGGAGGTCCTCGCCGGCGTCCACGTAGCGCACCAGGATCCTACTGCCCGGCATCAGCCCTCTCAATGAAGCCGCCACCCCGGAGGGCAGGGCGCCTGATCCTGCTGCCACCAGCATCTTGACGAGCTCCGCGTCGCGCGCCGGCACAGAAGCCGCCGACCGCCGCCACCACCACGTTGAACACGACGGCCGCGGCAAGCAGCGCCCACGGCGGCCCCTCAGGGCAGATCAGCGTCGGACACGCCGGGCAGACCGCCTCCGGGCAAGTCAGCTCCGGGCAGGTCAGGTTGGGGCAGGCAGGGCCGGGCAGACAGGGCGGTGGGAGCGGGCAGGGCTCCGGCTGACCGCCAGTCGCGGTCCAGCTGGCAACCACGCCAGCCACCGCGCCGCGGCCTATCTCCCGCGCGCCCGACTGGAGAAGGTCGCTCAGATAATCTGGGAGCACCATCCGAGGTGCGACGCCTCAAAAACTTTGAGCAAAAATGGGCCGCGGTCGCTTCCCACTCTCGCAGTTTCCACCCGCCCTCATTCCAGTCAAAGACAGTGCCATCAGCAGCATGACCATCAGCAGCAGCATCAGCATCAGCAGCAGCATCAGCAGCAGCATCCCCATCATTATCACCGTCATCATCAACAACAACATCCTCCTCCTCCTCATCATCATCATCACCGCCATGATCATCACCACCACTATCATCATCACCATCCAAATCCTCGTACTCGTCCTCCTGCTCCACGTCCTCTTCCTGTTCCACCTCCCCCGCAGTTCCCCCTTCCTCCTCCCCTCCTCAATCTCCCTCCTCCCCCGCCCCCCCCTGTCGTCACCCCCCCACTTGATCGCCTTCCTCGTCCGATCTTCCCTCCCCTGGTCCCCCCTGCATCTCCCTCAGACCTGGCGTTAAAATGAGGAGAAGGATGCCGAGAATGGTGGTGAGGAGGAGTCAAAGGAGCCAGGAGGGGGGAGGGGAGAAGGGAGCGGGAAAAGGAGGGAAGCTGGGTGAGTGGAGTCGTGTTGCGAAGGACGGAAGGACTTTCCATCCTCGCCCTCCCACTCGTGAGTTGCCTGCTCCCCGCGCGGCGGCCCTCGGCAACCCCATTCTGCGTCCCTCTCCTGCTCTGGCGCGCCTTTCCCCCCCCCCTCCTCCCTCCGATTGGTTTGGTGGATGAGGCAGCTTGAGGGTGCTACGTGAAGGGAGGAGGGGCACTGGGAGAAACAGGGGGTGGGAGACGAGGACAAGCCAGGTGCGCCCGCGCCATGTTTGACTTCTTGCCCCTCCCGCACACCACTCCTCATTGGCACGACCAAGGTGTCCTGGTAGACCGTGGTTCCTCATATCACCCCAGTTTGGTGCGAAGGGAGGCGGAAAGCTTTGCACCTTGAAGCAGGGGACGCTGGCTCGAGCCGGAGGCTGAGTAGGAGAGAGAGGAGAGGATGCGCTCCTCCTGGGCAATGATTGCTGGAGGCCAAATCCGCCGACCCTGTCGGCGTTTGGAAGAGGCTGTTCCGTTTGACTCGTCATCGTCGTCGTGCTCGTTGTCATCGTCGTCGCCTTCGCCACTCCCCCTTCTTTCCCTAAGTCCGTCGCCGCCCTCTCCCACTTTCACCGGGCCCTCCTCCTCGAGCGCGCCAGCCACAACGAAATTGAGCAACGTTGTAGTTGAGTCGAAGGGAAGCCCCTTCCCTTTGATCCCTTCCCCGCCGGGGGGGGGGGTCCCTGGGGTGGGGTCCCGAGGGAGGTCCTGGGGAGTCCTGGGGGGGGGGCCCGGGGCAGATACGACTCCCCCCCGGGCGGTTCGGGGGCCCAGAAAAGCCCCAAGACGCGGCAAAAGTGCCCGAAGATGTCCCCAAGACGGTTTTCGAGGGCCCCGAGTCGCCGAAGTATCGGTCCAAGTCGCCAAAGCAACCTCCAGACGGCTCAAAAGGTTTCCAAGACGCCCCGCGAGGCCTCCAAGAGGACTTCCAAGACGGCCCCAAGGGCAAAAACGCAGATTTCCCGAAGGTTTTAGAAAGATGTCAGCATTCTCGCCTTGTCAGCTTCCCGACGCTCCAAGACAGGCCAAGAGGCCTCCAAGACCGCCCCAAGATGGCTCAAGAGGCCTTCAAGAGAGCTCCACAACGACCCAAGAGGGCCCCAAAACCGCCCAAGAGGCCTCCAAGACAGCCGAGGAGGCCCCCAAGACGGCTCCAAAAGGGAGGCAGGACGGGGGACTCGAACGAACATTTCGATCCCTCGGCCTGAGAAGCTCTCAGGAAGCCCCCAGAGGCCCATCAGAAGCCCCCCAAGAGGCCCCAAGAGGCCCCCACGAGACCCCCAGGAAGCCCAGAGGCCCCCAAGAGGCTCCCAAGAGGCTCCCAAGAGCTTCCCAAGAGGCCCGCAAACTACCCCCAAGAGGCCCCCGAGAGCGGTCGTCGTCGTCGTCGTCGTCGTCGTCGTCGTCGTCGTCGTCGTCGTCGTCGTCGTCGTCATTCAGGGTCGGCGGCACCGCCCGTAAGGCCTTCGCAATATTCTTGGAACAAGTCGCAAATACGATTGGGATACCCTGCCGATGCGAAACTTCAGCCCCCCCGTGATCTCTCAAGCGAACCAACCCATGTGTCTTGAAATTGCGACCGAGGTTTTGCATGACCCCGATGCCGGCAAACGCCTGCAGAACATCATGTGTCTCATGTTATTTGCGATGCCTCTCCTACGTGTTGTGTGAGTTTTGCAACTCCTTGCTGATGCATTCAAGCGGCCTGCGTCCGTCCCCTTCCTTTCGTGCTGCTCGTCGTTCCGCTAGCAACTCCCGAATCCAAGGGGGCAACTCATCCGTTGTTTCTGCTTGGTCGTACTGATGCCTTTGCTCTTCTCTACATTTTGACGATCTTGTGGGCCCAATGCGGCCAGATTAACCTGCGGCCAGCAGTGCGCTGCAGGGATGCTCCAACTCGTTCAACTCTTTAGCTAGGAGGAAGGCAGACCAGAGGTAGGCCAGGCCCAGACAATCGCAAGGAGGGAGGTAGGAGTAGAAACGAGGGAGGAAGAAGGAGCAGAGCAGGAGGGAATGAAGGAGGGAAGAACAAACATCCCGTCGTCGACGTCGTCGCCGTCGCCGTCGCCGTCGCCGCCGCCGCCGTCGTCGTCCCTGTCGTCGTTGTCGTCGTCTGTCTCCTCCGCACCTCCCTCCGAGGTCTTCTCTCAGGCCGCGGCCTCCTGGCGGGCCTGCTCCATGCTGTCCGCGCCCAGCAGCGCGCCAAGCGCCGCATACTTCCTAGCGAAGTCGTGCCAGAGCTTGTCAAACCCGTTGGGTCCGCCGCGGGGGCCCAGGCACTCCTGGGAGCTTGCCCAGATTTCACAGCCGAATCCCACGAAACGCGACGCTTGAGCAGGGACCGGCCGTCCCGGCATTCCTACAAGCCTACCACGGCATGTTATCAGAACCAAAGAATGCTCGAAGAACAAGAACTATGCTTGTATAACAAAGAAGCCGATGTGTTTTTAACCAAAACGGTCTCAACTAGAAATGTTTCGTGCAAACGGAAACGGTTCTTAGAATATTCGTTTGTGGGCCTCTAGGCAAGCCCAGACGCTGTGTCACTGCTTGAGACGTCGACTTATCCCCGATTGCGCACGCATCACGGCGGCAACCACAAACACACTGAGCACTGTGAAAACAGATCAACCTGCGACGGGAAAGCCCCCACGCTGACACTCGAAATGAGACAAGAAACACTATGAACGACGCGCGGCCGAAAAAGTGATAGCAGGAGAAAGGAGGGGGGACAAGGACCACGACAACAAGGAGGGGAGACGACCTTCTGATTTGCACTTCGCTTTTTGGCTCTTCTGGGGAACCCTCGTGGCCACGGCTGGATCTGCCTGGCGACTCCGGCCAGACCGCACCACGGGACCCGGCCATGGACCGAGCACTCCTGAAGGGTCGAGGCTCGAGGTTGTCAAACGTTTTCGGGCCTCCTGGGGTCGGCCTGGAGGCCAGAGCTGGATCCACCTCGAGCTCTGTCTGGACCAGAGCACACCTTTGCACTGGACTGAAAACTCATTCTTCGACGCTCGAGTCAAGACCTCTGGCAACACGAAAACCTTACGACCCGTTGGAGCCTCCGAGGCCCGTTTCTGGGCGCCGGGACCGCAACTAAAACTATCTGGGATGGAAAGGCCTGGGAAAGGGTTCGAGAGCCTAGGGGGCCATGTCAAGAAGCAGATATGTGATGTTAGGAGGTCTGGGGCGAGGGCCCCAGCCGTGGGATACTCGTCCTCACATCGGGCCCTCTGTCTTCATCTCCCCCTCCCTCTCTCTCTCTATCTCTCACTCGTGCTACAGGATGGTGGGGATGGTGGCCTGCGGCGTCCACGATCGTCACAGCAACACGAACGGCGGCCTCAGGAACGAAAACGCGCCGCACATGCAACGCCTTCAAGTTCCTCCCCTTCATTCCTTCCTCACCATTTCTTCCCTCCGTTGATCACCCCCCTCCCCCGCCCTCCCAACGGAGCAGACAGCGCGACAGCAGGTGAAGAGGGCCCGCGTTCCATTCTGCGCCTTTCGCTCATCCCTCCCTCCCTCCCTCACTCCCTCCTCTCCTCTCCACTCCTGCCCTCCGCTCTCCCTTCCCTCCGAGTCCCGCCTTCCTTGCCGCCGTCCCTTCCTCCCTCCCCCGTGTAACTCAACTGCCCTCCTGCCCTTACTTCCCCACTTCTTACCTCATCTCCCTCCATGCCACTATTTCCCCCAGGAAGGCTCCGGCATGAGGCCCCTCTTTCTTGCCCCGCTCCCCCTCCCTCCCTCCCTCTCCTGCTCCTCCTCATCATTCTCCTCCTTCTCCTCCTCCTCCCCCTCAGCCTCCCCCGATCGCTCCCACATCCTTCTGCTCCCTCCTCTCCTCCTCCTCCTCCACCTCATCTGCCTCCTCATCCTCCTCCTCCTCATCATCATCATGATCATTATCTTCATCCTCCTCCTCCTCCTCCTCATCCTCCTCTTCCTCTTCTCCTCCTCATCATCCTGCTTCTGCTTCCTCCTCTCCTCGTTCTACTCGTCCCTCTGCTCCCTCCTCTCCTCCTCCTCCTCCTCATCCTCCTCCTCCTGCTCCTCCTCCTCCACCTTCGTCCTCCTCCCTCCTCTCCTATCTCCTATCGCTCTTACGTTGGACGCACAACGTGACACTTCCGACTGGTGCCACTCTGCAGCCAGAGCCGACTGCATTTGAGGAACGCCCGATTCCCCTCCTCTTGCCCCCGCGTGTGAGGGTTGGCGGGGCCGTTCCCGCCGGGTCGCGTCTCGGTCGCCTGCTGTCGGGCGTGAACGCCGGGCGGCCCGCACCTCACTCGCGTGCGCACCAAAATGTGGCCGAGCTGTTCTGGCCCGTCATCTCCTCCATGGCTTCTCCGCTCAGCCAACGCCTCCCTGAAACCATCGCCAGGCTGTCTCTTCAGCTCGCTCCCTGTCCCCCGTCTATCTACTGATCCTTCTCCCTTGTTGTGTCGTGCTTTCTCTCTCTCTCTCTCTCTCTCTCTCTCTCCCTTTCTCTTCTATGTTTGCTGTCTCTCTCTCTCTCTATGTATCTCTATTTCTTTTTTTGTTTCTCTCTCTCTCTCTCTCTTTCTCCCTCTTGCCCCCTCCATTCTTGAGCCCAGACACCCGCATGGCCCCCCACCGCACGATGTGATTATCTTGCTTACCTGCTACCCGCCTGTTCTCCCACCTCTGCGTGCGTGGGCTATCCGCCCGCTGTGTCATCCACATCAGCCCCATCCCTAAATGTCATTTCCGCTCCGTCTGCCCTCCAACGGTGCCTGTCCTGCTCGACTCAGGGCTCATCCCCCTGTCTGCTTACCAGGGTATCGCATTTTCTCCCAACCCTCTCCTCCGCCCGATCTCTCATCCTTCTCAACCCCTGCCTTCCCAACCTGTGAAAATACGCGTCCGTGCATTGTTGCTTTCCTTCTTGCTACCCGACTGCCCGCCCGTTCTGCCTTCCTCCTCGCCCGAAACCACCATGTCATACGTTGATTGCCTGCGCATGCACTAATTTCTCTATTACGATTGGCGGCTTTCCGGATTCGTCCTCCCTCCACAGTTGCCCCTTCTCTTCCCTCTCTGCGTCCGACCTTTACTATGCTACTTCCTGCTCCCGACTGCCCGCCCGTTTTGTATTCTTTCTCGCCCCAGCCATTCACTGAATATACCAGCGCACTCAGCTAGAACACCCAGCGCGCGGTGGTTCAATTTGTTGCGCCCCACTGAGGCGATCAAATCTTTCCCCCACTGGGCACCCGCATCCTCATGCGGGACGCCCTCACTCCAATTGCTTATTAATTACCCCAGTGCGACCCTACCTAGAAGTTGGAGCCCCTAGGAAAGCAGCATTAGTTGCTATGCTATGCTATGCTATGCCGTGCTATGCCATGCTATGCTGCACTATGCCATGCTATGCTATGCTATGCTATGTTATGCTATGATGTGCTATGATGCGCTGTGATATGCTATGCTATGCTAAGCTATGATATGTCATGCTGACCTGTGCTATGCTAAGCTATGCTATGATATGCTATGCTATGCTATGCTATGCTAATGCAGCGCTGCGCTATGCTAAGCTAAGCTAAGCTAGGCAGAGCCTAGGTAGGGAATTACACCCATGATATGCTGTGGTATGCTGTGCTATGCTGGGCTATGCTATAATATGATGTGCTGCGCTATGCGATGCTACGCTATGCTATGCTATGATGTGCTCTGCTATGGTAAAGCTCAGCGAAGCTAAGATGAAGGTAAGCTAAGCTAAGATAAACCTGAGCTAAGATGAAGATAAGCTACGCTAAGATGAACTAAGCTAAGCTAATATGAGATAAGCAACGCTAAGCTAAGGGGACGTAACTGGGGGAACCGCGGGGCGGATCCTGGGGGAACCGCCCGGGGCGGGTTCCACTGCCCGGCCCTTACGCATACCGAGTAAGAACCCTTCTAGGCAGAGCCTAGGTAGGGAAGAATACACGCGCCTTCCGGTTACAGTGCGGTGATCCCTGGAGGACCCACTAACCTTTGCCTCATATAAACAAATATGCAGACCATTCCAATCATGTGCTTCCTACCTACAGGGGCCAGCCACCCTGAATAAGGCTGTGTAATCCGCCAGTGGCCTCCCTCCCTCTCCTCCTCTCCTCCTCCTCCCGTCCCATCCCATCCCATCCCATCCCATCCCATCCCATCCCATCCCCTCCTCCTCCTCCTCCTCCTCCTCCTCCTCCTCCTCCTTCTCTTCCTCCTCCTCCTCCTCCTCCTCCTCCTCCTACACTTCCTACCCTCCTTCCGACCACCCCCCAGACCTCTGCTGGGGTGGGTTCTGGCCGCAGCTCCAGGATGAATCTGGCCGTGGCGACGAGAAGCGCCCCGGAGGAAACCCCCAAACCAACAAAAATGCCAGCGGCCACACGAAATCCCCAGCACAATCGCCTCAACCATCGATCCTGCCTGCCCGCACCCCATTTCTTCGAGGGGGCGAGGAGGGTCGGCTGAATCGATCCTGCCAATCCCCACACCCTCCCTCTCGCAACGGCCCCGACGCTTACTCTCAACTGCGCGTTTGCCATCGTCGTCGTTTCCTCGGCTCGCCTGGGTATATCAGTACCCACCGCCGTCGAGGAACCAACAAATGCTGTCTGGGGCGAAATACATTACTGTACTGAGCAAAGCCCCCGAAACCAGTCGCCTCGGCCCCCACCAAGGACGTACGCGCCACCGTATACACAAACATGGCCACCCCATCCGCGAGACTGGCCGCGTGATACGAAGGTTCGGGCAAGGCGAAATCTCGAGACCTGCGTGGATTCACGTAAGTGCCCGTCCTCCTTCCGCTCCCGAGTTCCCTCGAGGGGGCGAGGAGGGACGGCTCCAGCAGGAGGTCCGTCTTGGGCAGCGTCCACAGCACCGCGTCCTTGGAGAGCGCTCCTCCCCCCCCGCTTCGCCCGAGCCCCGGCCGGCCGTGTACCGCGGGCGGGCTCGCGCCCTGCAGGGGGGGGGCCCACAGAGCCTCGATCGAAGTTCGAGGATCGAGGTTGGAGAAGCGAAATTCGAGGATCGAGGATCGAGGTTCCAGTATCGAAAATCCAACATCAAGAATCGCACCATCGAGGATCGAGGAACCAGGATCCTCGAACCTCGAACCTCCTGGGTCGAGGAGGCGGCGGCGACGGCGACGATGGTGGAGACCGCCCAGGGATGGATTTCGCGCCCGTCAGGCGGCCGAACAGTGTCCGACGCCGATCCAAGGAATCCGCGCAGAGCTCCAACAAGTTGCGTGCTTGTGCAATGTTCTGCATCCAGCGAAAGCGCCCCAAACAAAGTCGACCCTCGGACCAAAGGACCTCAGACCCGACGTCGCGAAAAACAGTTACACCACCGAGAGAAGGTACGACCAGAACCCCAGACCTCATCATCTTGCTGTGGCATCTCTGGGGCGAGATTGTTGTTTAGCATTGCCGGTAACGGTCGTTATCCAGGAGGGGGAGGTAGGCGGGTGACGGCAACGCCTGGGCAGGGTGAGGCACGTCGGGGAGGAGGCGCGCTGCGATCGCAACAGTATGCGCGCGAGCACCTGGGGAGGGACCAGATCCCCCTCCCCCTACGCACGATCTGCCGTTGCCCGGGAGGTGGGGAGGGCTGCCACGGACAGTCGGACCTGGGCCAGAAGAACACCCTTTAGAAACATGAAGCCCTCCGTCGGCCAAAACAAACAGAACACCGAAGGGTTCCCTCCCCAGGACGCACCACAGCATCCAACAAGCACGAAGAACACAAGGGCACCCTCCCAAAATCGACGTCGACCTTATACCTCGATCCGACTGTAACGCAACGACCGTCACGCGCCAGAGGATAACAAAGCAACGTCGGCTGGATCGACCTGCAGAGGCCCTGGGGCTCGAGACTGTGCGACAGAAGCGTCTGCGGCGTGCCGCCGCCCCACGGCGACGGCCGCCGCCGCGGGAGCGCCAGCCGCCAGCATGGCCCGGGCGGAGGGGTGCCGCTTTTCTGCAGGCTCTGGCAACCTTCCTCGCAGGGAAGGGGGGGGAGCGGGCCTGGCGAGGCCCGGAAGGAACTCTGCGCTGCGTACAATTCGAAACTCACTTGCATGCCACGTCGGGGCCCAGCCCTGTTTCAGGGGGCGGCGGAGGAAGGTGGGGGGGGAGGTCGGGGGGACAAGGACCAGTACGGTGGCCTGCCTCAGAAGAGGCAAGTGCAAGGAGACGGGAGGAGAGAGGGAAGGGGGGGGGGGGGGATGGGGTGAAGGGAGGGGAGGAGAGTGGGGGGGGGGGAGCTGGGGAGAGGGAGGGAGGGGGGGGGGGGGGGAAAGAGGGGGGAGGGCGGGGAAGGGGAGAGGGGATGGGAGGGGAGGGGGAAAAGGGAGGGGGGGGGAGGGGGGAGAGAGAGGGGATGAGGGAGGGGGGGAGGGGGAGATGTGAGGCGAACCCCACGCAAGATAACTTGCCTGAGCTCCATGAATCGCTCGGTGCGGCCGCGCGGCGCGCGCTGCGCTGGCCGAGGGCGTTGCGGCCCTTGCTGCCGCCGCCGTCGTCAAAAGTTCAAAAGCTCTTGGTCGTCGTCGTCGTCGTCGTCGTCGTCGTCGTCGTCGTCGTCGTCGTCGCCGCCGCCGCCGCCGCCGCCGCCGCCGCCGCCGCCGCCGCTGCCGTGTGGGGGAACCAAAAGATACCGATGCCCGTCGGTCGGCAGAAGTGGGTTGGAAGCATGAAGTAGGAAGGCGGTGAGAGTAGATTGGGCTTCCGCCCGCCCCCAGAAGAGGAAGGACCACAGGAAACCACTATATTATTGAAGTAAGAGAACGCCTCAAGTAAGTTGGGATCTGGGAGTCCAGAAATACCTGCTTTCAACGACCGACGGGTACCTCCACTCCCCGTGCCTCTCCCAGGGTGCGCCCTGCCCAGAATTTCGAAGCGAGTCCAGCTGTGGCGACGAGGGCCTCCCGAGAAGCCCCCACAAGGCGAACACGGTGCAAGGGCAGCGGCATCAGTATCTTACCCTCCTCTGACTGTCATCGCCACCGCCGCCGTCGTCCGAGGGGGAGGGGGTCGGCGCTGAGGCCGCCACGTCGGTCTCCGCATCGTGTCGGCGCCTTGCGGGGGAGGAGGAGGGAGGAGGAGGAGGAGGAGGAGGAGGAGGAGGAGGAGGAGGAGGAGGAAGTAGGAGAATAAGGAGGAGGAATAGGAGGAGGGATGGAGAAGGAGAGAGGCGGTGGAGGAGGAGGAAAGAGGAGGAGGAGGAGGGAGGAGAAAGGCGGTGGAGGAGGAGGGAGGAGGACCAGAGAAAACCCAACATACATCAGAATGCTGCAAAACACCCTCCCGTCCCAGGTCCCCTCCTCACACGTTGCTACAAGCTCTCTTCTCCACCAGAAGAAGCACCTCCTTGAAAGATCAGCAAGATGTAGTCTTGCCATTTTGGCGGGGGCACGTGTTGACAAGGGGCCTGCCTGCATCCCTCTGGCACGTACTCACTCTAGAGTACAAGCAAAATTGCCTGGGGATTCAACGATATATGTCCAGCGATATTCCTCATCCCCCCCATGCTTTTAACTATTGCACAAGAGGGCGCTGCGGTCATGAGCCATGGGAGGTTCTCAGGCGAGAACTCCATTTGGAAAAGGGGCTGCCCTCGAGTGTAAGCAGTGCTGCATGTGTTGAAATTCCGGGTATGTGAAGCAGCGGGTGTCTCATATGAGAACCCCATTTTGAAACATTGAAAACCTCATCCGGTCTGCGGAACTGCTCCAAACTCGTATAGGGAATGTGGCGGCGCGAAGGCGAGAACAGAATTGTTAAAACGACCGGCCTCCATCCCTCAAGTTGCCGACTTCTTCTCAGATGAATGTGCGCTACGCTCAAGCGAGAACCCCAGTTTGAAAACGACCCCTCTATATGCTTGAATACGAAACAAGCTTTCAATGCGAGTGTGCGCGGCGCTCAGGCGCGACCCCCAGTTTGAATAAGAACATCCCGCCATCCTTGAAGCGATTGCAGACTTCTAATACGAATGTGCGCGGCGATCCATCCATGTGCATGTTGCGAACACCCCTAACCTGGAAGCGGTTAAACAAATCGTAAGGCGAATGCGCGCGGCCATGAAGCGAGAGCCCAATATTGAAAACGCCCCGCCCTCCATCCACCCTGAAAACTTGTCTAAAAACGTAAAAGGCGAATGCGCGCGGCGCTAAGGCGAGAGCCCGATTCCGCCCCGCCCTCCAGCCTTGGAGCTGCTGCAAAATTCAAGCTTGTCCAAAGGTAAAGAAGTCTCGGGCAAAACGCCCAGCACGCCCTACAAACCAGTCATGGGGCGCGGCATGGAGGACTTGCCAGACTTTTTCATATTTACATAGCACCCCGCAATTGCGGATAAGAGTGAGGGGGCGGGCGCGGGCGACGCGGACGTCGTCGAGCCGGCGGACCTCGTGGCCCCCACCTTCCCTGTCGATGGCGTTCTCCTCCTCCTCCTCCTCCTCCTCGTCCTCCTCCTCCTCCTCCTCCTCTTCCTCGTCCTCGTCCTCGTCCTCGTCGTCATCGTCATCCTCCTCCTCCACCTCTTCCTCCTCTTCTTCCTCGTCCTCCCTCTCCCCCCCTCGTCCTTCCATTATCGTCCTCCCATTGTCGTCCACCCCCTCATCGGCCTCCATCATCGTCCTCCCATTGTCGTCCATCATCATCATCCTCCCCCTCCTCCTCCTCCTCCCCCTCCTCGTCCTCCTCCTCCCCCTCCTCCCCCTCCTCGTCCTCCTGCTGCTGCTCCTCCTCCTCCTCTTTCTCCACATTCTCCTTACATCCTCTCTTCTTTCGCGTCCTCCTCGTCCCCTGTTTACTCCTCCTGCCTCCCCCTCCTTTCCCAAGATAACGGCAACGCAATCCTTTTTTCCACTTTATGCTCCCCGACTTCTCTGATCAAGGCAACTCGCCAGGGCAAAGTTGCTGGACGGGCTGGTGTGGATGCGCGGGGCTTGAAGAGGTCGTTGCGGGCTCAGACGGCATGCAAAAATCCGCCGCCGCGCTTGTGCGGCATTGGTTTGTTCAGTGAACGTGGTTTGGGTCGCGGGTGGGTCGCGGGCTCTCCACCTCCACCTGGAAGGAATGCAAAAGCAGCCCGCCGCAGGCGCCGAAAAATTTGGTTTGCACACTGAACGTGGAATGGGTCGCGGGTGGGCCGCGGGTTCTCCACCGGGGACGACTGCAAAAGATGCCCGCCGCAGGCGCCGAAAAATTTGGTATGTACCCTGATCGTGGTCGCGGGTGGGCCGCGGGCTCTCCACCTGAAACGAATGCAAAAGATGCCCGCCGTAGGCGCCGAAAAATGTGGTTTGTACCCTGAGCGTGGTTTGGGTCGCGGGTTGGTCGCGAGTTGGTCGCGGGGTGGGTCGCGGGCTCTCCGCCGCAGGCGCCGAAAATGGTGGTTTGTACCTTGAACGTGGTTTGGGTCGAAGGTGGGTCGCGGGTGGGTCGCGGGGTGGGTCGCGGGTGGGTCGCGGGTGGGTCGCGGGTGGGTCGCGGGTGGGTCGCGGGTGGGTCGCGGGTGGGTCGCGGGGTGGGTCGCGGGTGGGTCGCGGGGTGGGTCGCGGGGTGGGTCGCGGGGTGGGTCGCGGGTGGGTCGCGGGTGGGTCGCGGGTGGGTCGGCGGGGTGGGTCGCGGGGTGGGTCGCGGGTGGGTCGCGGGGCGGGTTGCGGGTGGGACGACGACAACAAACAACAACAACAAACAACAACAAACAACAACAAACAACAACAACGAGAATCCGCACCGCGAAATCCCACTTCAGCCACGCACCCAGGGACAGTGAATGACCTTTCGGCCCCCTCACTCTGATAAACATACCTGTAGATTTAAGAGGGAGTTCAACACGAGGGGAGGAGAAGGTGGACGATGGGGAAAAAGAGAAACAGAGAGAGAGAGAGAGAGGACGAGAGAGAATGAAAGAGAGGAGGAGCCGATGACAGGGGTCGAAGAAGAGAAGAGGGGAAGAGAGGAGGAGTGGGAGGGAAGGAGGAAGGAGGACAAGGATATGAGGAGACAGAGATGGACGAGTCCGAGCCCGAATCCAGCAGCTCATGGAATTCAGATCTGGCTCATACTTTCTGCCAAGGAAAGAGGGGAGATGAGTGAGGACAAGCTAGGTACGCTCGCGCCACATCTGTCGCCTCACCCCTCCCACCCAATCCTTCGCATGTCGCTGTATCCTTTACTATCCGCCGACAGGGGTGTCCTAGAGGGCCTCGGTTACCAGAACGACCCCATCGTGTGATGCGCAAGAAGAAAAGGGTACCTCGAAAAGGGTACGTTTTGTACATTTGGGGAGGAGAGGGGGGAAGAAGAGGAGGAGGACGAGAAAGAGGATGATGATGATAATGAGCTGGAGGAGGAGGAGGAGAGGGTGAAGAAGACGGTCGAGCATGAGGAGGAGGAGGGAGGGGAAGGAGCAGGAGCAGGAGGACCATCGGGAGCTGCAGGATCAGCGGAAGGCAACGGCGGGGAAAGGACCCAGAACGATAGCCCGCGCTTGGGCGCTAGCGCCATCCTGAACAGACGTATGAAAGCGCCGATCCTGAAAATTGGTCAGCGCTGCAGCGGTTGCATCACATTGAAAAGGCCGAGAACGGATCACATCGAACGCCAGCTCGGGACAATTATTTTTGTGTAAACAAGCATTTGCGGTGTAGGCGTGCGTAAAAAAAAGGCACTGGTGCAGAGAGGAGAGTAGTATTCCCACTGTCATAGGGAAGAGAGGCAGAGGGATGAGGAAACGGAAGAGGCAAAGGCCGAGGTGGGAGGAGGAGGGGAGGGGGAAAAAAGGGACCATGAGAGCAGGAGGAGGTCGCTCAGGGTGGCAGGAGGGAGGGGAAAACTGAACGAACAATCGCGCCAGATGTGGTCCCCTGATTTCGGTTTGAAGCTTGGGGGGGGTCCCGGTGTTGGGGCCCTGGGACGTAGTATACACATGTATACACTGTATATCTGTCTGTGTGTGTCGGGGGCCTGGGTCGGTCTGGTGACCAGTGTCGACTTTGTTTTGCCGGCAGGAAGAAAACACTGTAGAATATTCAGGTGTTGGGATTATCCGTCTTCTCCCTGCTACTGATCCTGTTCCTCCTCCTCCTCCTGCTCCTCCCTTCTCCATCCATTTATCCCTCCACACCCTCCCAATCCTACCCCCCCCCTCCACCAGCTCACTCCTCCCCATTTTCCTTCCTTCTCTCCTCATCTTCCATCCACTCAACTCCTCATCATCCCTCCCCCATTCTCAATCCTCGCTCATTCCATCATACCTCCTCCCCCCTCGTCTCTCTCTCTCTCTCTCTCTCTCTTCCCCCTTCCCATCACTCCCCCAATCCTCCACCCTCCTTGTCCTCCTCCTGCTAGTCCTCCTCGCTCCTGCTCATCCTCATCATCCTAATCATCCTCTCCAGCATCACCGTCGTCAACATCACCATCACCATCATCATCGTCATCATCACCATCAACATCAACATCCGCCTCATCATCTGCCTCATCATCCTCCTCGTCTTCTCTTCTCTTCATCGGCATCATCAAGACACACATACCATCGTCAACGTTATCATCATTGTGGTACTCGTCATGGTCCCTTACACTATCCCTCCTAAACTGTCCTTATCGCCCCCTGCTGTCTCCTATGTGCTGGTAAGCGGCGTAGCCGTTACACACGACAATACGCTCGCTGCATTTGATTTTGCATGCTCTGACATTCGATAACGTCCGTGCATCACATCGTGTGGCTATGTCACACGCCGCAGTACCCCCACGCCGCTCGAACGGTCCACCACGCGACTGGGAAATCCAAAGCTCGCCACATGGAGGACGCCATGCAACGCAGCCGCGCAGGAGGAGACTCGTGCACGGCGCGGGTCAGAATCCGAATACATCTGGTACAAATCAGAAACGGTCTGGGGCGCGACTGGGGCTGCTGGTGCATCAGCCCGTGGGAAAATTCAAAGCCAAGACGGCGCCCGCTTTGTCCGCGGCATGGTACGTCCGCCCTCGCCGCACGCTTCCTAGGGCTTCCCGCGCCGCAGCGAGGAAAAAAAACCAAAAAACGCGACACCAAGAAACACACGCCATGAGGCGCCCGCGCCCCGCTCTTTTGGATGCAGCAGCCCGTGAGGCGGAACGAACCGTCCTGCCAGAGCGAACCACTGGCAGCCTCTGAGCGGGGGAAAACCTGCACGCCTCGCACCTCGGCGTTGTCGATGTGGACAAATGCGTGCATCTGGCCGCTTTGTACAGGTCAAACTGATCGTTTGGGCGTTGCCTTGAACCGCCAGTCAGGACACGAAAGCAAAGGCCGTCGCTCTACGCGACCAGTGGGCGCACCGATGCCTCCTGCTCCTCCGCAGAGGGCGACGCGAGCGGGGGATCTCGCGAAGCATGCTCGGGGAACAAATAACGACGTAAACGCCAACTATCGAAGCTCCGCGCAGATTTCTCGGATATGCGCTGGGACTCCCAGGCGGTGCCTCCGGCGCCGCCCCTGGCGCGCTCCGCGCGCCAGGGAAGGGGTTCCAGCACCGATCCGAGAAATTCGAGCGGATCTCCAGAAGTTCATGTTTGCGTCATTCTTGCTGCTCCTCGACATGTGCCACACCCACGTCGATGCACATCAGCGAGATGATCTGGTGGTGCTGCAGAAACTCCTCGCACTGTCCCTCCCCCAACCAGAGCATGATCGGATGTGGGCGCACACCGCTGCCGCCCGTCCCGCCGCACCTGACTGGCAACAGGTCCGCTTGCATGTGCCCCATGGCCCTAACCGCGGGCACTGTGCCCGACACACAGATCTCCAGGTCCGACGGCCGAACGCCGCCGATGATATCTATGGGGCCCAGGCGGAGCTCCAGCAGCCCGGGGCTGTGGCGCCGCCTGGACAGAGCCAGTGCGATGCCGAAGGAGAAACCATGGGAGCATTCGAAGCCGATCGTAGACGAACAAAGCATGGCATAAACATAAACTTCTGGGGGTCCGCGCAGATTTCTTGAATCCGCGCCGAACCCCCCTTCCCTGGCGCGCTCTGCGATCCAAAGGCGGCGCCGAGGGCGCCGCAATGCAGAGCCGCAGCGCCGTTCCAAGAAATCCCAGCGGACCACCGAAAGTTGATGCTTACGCCGTTTTCAGTTCGTCGAAATCGCTTCGCTCAACAGGGGGGCCTCCCCGTGGGCGCCCTCGAGGAACGCGCCCACCCTGGAGACCGTTTTCTGTTTTTTCTGCGATGACCTGGGTTATCCGGAGGGGTGGGGGTGGTGCCAGCCAATAACCGAACCCTTTCGCTTTGGGCAGCCTCGCTCACGCCCGCGCGCACCAGAACTGCATACCCCTCTCGGACCTGCGCAATCAACAAGGTCAGGTTATCCAGGTGGAGGAGGAGGGGGGGAGCGGGCGGGCCCGTCAGGGCCTCCAAAACCCAGACACGCCAGACCAGGACATCCAAAATACATGCACTGCACAAGAAGGCGGCATGGAAGCAAGCACACTGCACTGCAACATTCCTAGAATAAAACCAGACGAAGGCCATGAAAGCCTGCAAAACCTGCCCTAGACCCAGACACAGACCCGAATCCTGCAGTGCAGTAAAAGAAACATGCCCTGGACAACCAAATGCAGCAACAAAAAAATGCACCGGGCGACCAAAATCTGACCTTGCAGGCAAAGGTGTCGTTTTCCCGACTTGTCAATGTTCTGGTCAGTCTTTGTCCTGGTCTCGGGGGGGGCTGAGCCCGATAACCCAGGTTACTGCTGGACCCTTACAAAAACACTGTCCTGCTCGGAGCGAACCTCCAGGTGACGGCGAAATCGAAGGGCCGGCCGCCCGCGCCGGCCAGGGCGGCGATGCAGGCTCGCAGCACCGAGCCCGAGTGGAACTCCAGCTGGCCCGGGACCTTCGCCCAGGAGCGGCCAGAGACGACTCGATAAGTCGGATCGGCGATCGGAGCGAAGCAGATCGGCGGAAATCGGAAGCCAAGTCGGGAGAAGCCGAGTCGCTGGAAACCGGCAGGCCAATGCGTACATGGGTATATTCAGCCGTTGGGCCGAACTCCCCCTGATTGACTTCGGCCCTGGCTCGCCTATGAAGGCGACCAGGTTTCGTTAAAGATGATTCGAACTTGAACCGAGATGCGGCGTCTAAAAGTCCAAATACGAGCGAAAGTTAACTTACGAAAGCAATAGCGAACCGTCGACGACAGATGGTCGGGGCATGGGGCGTCCGTTTCTCCCGTCCGCCGCACGCAAGCCAGGATGCTGTGCGGCGACTCCCTTCTCTCTCTCTCTCTCTAGTTGTTTGCCTTCTTTTTTTTGTTTTTTTGTTGTTTCTCTCTCTCTCTCTCTCAAGCAGGAGAAGGTGAGGCCGAAGCAGGAGAAAGTGAGCGAGGGGCGGAGCGCGGAAGGCCGAGACTGACCTGACCCCCGATCCCCCGAACGCCACGGCGGGGATACGGTCCCAAAGCAAACACGCCCCCAGTGCCAGGGGCAAAGCACACTCCATGGAGACACCGAGAGCCCAATCGGAATCGGAAGTCGAGTCGAATCGGAGTCGGAGTCGGAATCCATCCGGATCGAGCGGGAGGAGTCGACCGGAGCCCTGCCTTCACCCGCCGGATCTCCTCCGCGAAGGCGGCGGCGCTGCGGAGCTCGGCGAGCGCGTGCAGCCATGCCACGCCGCCCTCGTAGCGGCCGCGGGCCGCGCCCTGCTGGAGGAGCCAGTAGGCGCCGGGCCGGTGCGCACCATCGAGGAAGGCCTCAAGCGTCCAGCAGCTGGCCCCGAGCTGCGCCGCATCGCTGCTGGGCAGGTAGACCGACGCCTGCTCCAGGGCTCCACCTAGACTTCAGTTGCGCATGTCCTCCTACAGGGGGATTTTCGACGACAAATGCAACATAGTTAGAACAAGCATGCCAACATGGCTCAAAAATATGAAACACAAACGTCCCGAGTATTTTTTGACTATGTTGAGTCTTCCTCCTGTAGAGGGACGTGCGCGACTCAAACCTAGACCGTGTCTTTCGCTCTGGCGCTGCTGCGTTTTGTATTCGTTCCGCCCTCGTGGCGAAACGAGACCAAGACGGAAGCGGCCCACGACATCGCCGAAACACCGTTTAGGCCGAACCCGACGCCTGCTCGAAGACGATCGCGCGCGCGCCGAGGCTGCCGTGGCGGTGGCCTCCGGGGTCCGTGGGGCTGGGAGCAGCAGCGCCGCTGCGCAGCATCGGCCAGTCCTAGGTATCGAGCAGGAGGATCGACGTTTTATCCACGACCCCCGCTCCTGAGTCCGTCTGTCCGAATATCGATTTTCCTCAGGACGTGTGTTAGCGCCACGCGCGCTTGCTCATAGAAACCCTTCAATACGAAGCAGACGATGCAATGAGGGCCGACACAGGTTGCGTGCCATCGGCAGAGCTGAGCGGGGGAAACACACACACACACACACATCGGGCTAACACACGTCCTGAAGATTACAATACAGTTGCTGCACCAGGGAACGCTGAATGAGGGACGAAGCCCCTCTTTGGCACCAGAAGAGCCCGACGAACCTGGGTGCACGAGGAGGGCTAGAGGAACAACCACGACAGGACCGAATGAACAGCGAGCCCCTTCCGAATCCAAAGCGGCCCCAGCGCCTTAACTGTATAGAGAATGGAAGGCTGGCAGGGGCTGGCATGGAAAATAATAAAAGCCCCCAGCGGGAGGGCTTCCAGAAATGCCCTCGTGTTATCCCCCTGTCTCCACTCTGTGCCTCGGCGTGGGCCCTGCCATCGCTCGGATTTCCATTTCCCGTGAATGTGTCGACCTCGCGCGATTATTTTTCCGCAAGATGATCCAAAATGCACACGTCCGAGCGATGCCAAGGGGGCATGGATGGAACGAACGTCGATCGCCCATCGCGGGAGGGCTTCGAGCACTGCGCCTAAATTCGGCTGCCGAAGAAAACAAGGAGAGGAGACGTCGATGGTTCACTGAGGCCGTGCTCCTCCGTCTTGAGGGGCTGCTTCCCTTCTCCCGCTCGTCCAGAGTAGCTGCAATCCAGCGCAGGGGTTGCAAAGAGCTCTGTGAGAACCACAACGGCCCTCGACTGGCGAAATTCTGTAATGCAGGAAGGACGCTTCTTGCCATGGCAATGAAGGGACACACATCCTGAGAGAAAGAGGTCCTGGATCCCGTCTGAGCTCTCCCTGGGATGGGATTCGTCCAGAGCCGTGCTCGCTCAAGGCCGGGGAAGGGCCCCGAGCAGGCCAGGAAACGTGAAAACACTGAGGCCCCTCCCCTCAAGACAGTTTTGCTCCTGAACTTCGTGCTGACGAGACGGCGAGTAGATGTTTGTTGGCGGCCGCTCAGGGGGGTAGGAGGGGGGGACATAATCTTAGGAGGCTGCTTCTTAGAAGGTGCCGGCCCCACATCCATACACACATATCTATATATATATATATATACACATACAGAAGGGCCGCGCCTTAAGAAGCAGCTTCCTTCTGAGAAGCCTTCCCCCCTCCCCCATACCCCTCTGCGCGCGCAGTCTCTATCCACGCCAGGGTCGCCGGGCGAGGCAGGCGTGGCCTGACGCCAAGAGGGGGTGCGCAGGAACATGCCCCTGAACGCGGAGCGTTAGGGCGGTCGCGGGGACGTCCCCGGCGGTCCGGTTTGCTCCGCCTTCCCTTTGTGTTCTGCATGCGCACTACACAGCTGACCCCCACCGCTCTGCCCGTCCACGCCGGACCCTGGGCTCTCACTCTGCGCCTGCACCGCCCCGCAGCAGGACGGCCCTCATGGGGGGCGAGGTCGTGGCGCCAGCGGTACCAGCAGGCTCGCAAGCGGGAGCTCAAACAAGAAATCTGCCCACCAGCCGCTGCGAAAGTGAACTTGCATGTCCCCGAGGGCCCCAGGGGGCGCACAGAAGCTCTTGGAGCACCTAGAGTAGGAGGAGGAGGAGGAGGAGGAGGAGGAGGAGGAGGAGGAGGAGGAGCGAACGTCCCCTCAGAGGAGAAGAAAAGAGAGGAGGGGGGGAATGCAGGCGGAGGAACTGGCGGGGGAGGAGGAGGGAGAGGAAAAGGAGGAAACGGCGGAGGAGGAAACGGCGGCGGAGGAAACGGCGGAGGAGGGCACCTGTCTTCTGATCGAGGCGGCCCCCGACTCCCTTGTATCGTCGCCGCACGGGGGAAAGGGGGGGGCAGCAGCGGCCAAACGCTCGCCCACCGCACCGTGCCCAGAGGCCAGCCGTCCAGGCGTCGCTCGCCCTATGAGCTGGGCTCGGCGGTGCCGCACTCCTGTTCCCCCGGCCGTGCGGCCGAGTGGCCCCCCCCCCCACACAGGAAGCCGTGCGCCAGCCACGAGCCAGCCCATGGCACGGCGCCTGGGCACCACTCACCACTGCCGTCCCTGAGCTGGGTGTTGGGCAGGACGCGCGGGCAGAGGTGTGCGCAGTTGGTACTCCCTCCATCGGACAAGTTACAATAAAAGCAGAGCGCCCGACTGTGAAGCGGGAAGGCAGAGCGCAGCACGACCTACTTCCCGGGGGGCAAGCTTCTGCCCCGGACTCGTTTCTACTGGCCCTGGGGCCTGATGACATGCCCTGGGCGGGCAACAGCGTGCCACAGCAGAGCCGGTCCCTCGCGCCAGAGAGCTCGCCGAGAGGGAACGACACAATTGGAAGGACGCGCGCTGACTGGCACATCGCCTGGAACACAAGGGAATCTGACGGACAAGATCCCCAGGGCGCGCCCCTCCGCTACCACTCCGTGGGCTCCCTGCTGGTCTTGAGGTTCACGATGCGTCTCCACCTGTTCAAGGACCAGTTCTCGGGGAAGGATGCAAGTCTTGAGGTGGACTCCGCACAACCCGATCCACATCCGTGCCTTCAGAATTCTGTTCGTGCTTCCGGTACATCATGTATCCGGTCACCGTGAGCAGCGCGAACACCACAAAGTTGAGGAGGATCAGGAGCGCTGCCCCTTGTGCTGAGAGGGGCTGGCTGTTCCTTTTCGCCATGTGCGTGCCCTAGGAGAGCGAGGGAGGTGGAGAAAGAGCAGGGAGGTTGGATGAGCAGGGCAGCGGAGGATATGAGGAGGAAGACCTGGGCGGCACTGACGACCCAGAAGCTGATGGGCACAACGGAACCTAAGCAGCCCAGCGCGTAGTCGTAGAGCGGTATCGACGTGGCTGCGCAGGCGTAGTTGAAAACATCGGCTGGAAGAATGGGGCTCATGCGCAGCAGCAGAACGACCCTCAGACCCTCTTCCTGGATCATACGCTCCACCGCCTGCATCCAGGGGTGCCTTTGCAGCTCGCGCTGGGCCCACTCGTGAAATACGCTGCGGCCGAGCATGAATGCGCAGACGCTCCCCAGCCAGACTCCGCACATCATGGCAGCGACGCCAACAGCCGCCCCCCACACCAGGCCGTACATGTGGCAGAACAGCGCGCCAGAGCCTGGGGAAACCAAAAGGTACCCATACTGCTACTCCAGCAGGATTTCGAGGCGAATCCAGCCGTGGCGACGAAGGCCTCCCAGGAGGCCCCAGAAGGCGAAAACGAGGCAAGGGCAGCGGCATCGATGCCTTTCCCGCCTCCGAGAGCCGAGCATGAGCGGCATCGTCGGCAGCATGGCGAGGCTGAGGCCGACGCAGCCCAGGACGATGTACACCGAGGCCCTCCAGCCAGACTGCGACGCCCAGGCCAGGGCCGACGAGATGAGCCTGCCGGCGTCTGCGTGCAGGCACGCCGAGAGGGACACCATGACGACCAGCCACAGCGCCCCGAGCGCGCACCTCCATGAGCCTCGCGGGGGTGAGGACGATAATGGTGTCATGGTGGGGTTGGCTCGGGAGTTCCAGCAAGTATGCAGCGGCCTTCGTCTCTGGAGCCCGTGCGGAACACCTGGACATCAGGGAATTTCTGGTGATCTTCTCGGCACGTATCATTATCGTGATTTCTTGCTCCCCTGAAAGGAAGAGGAGGAGGAGGAGGAGGAGGAGGAGGAGGAGGAGGAGGAGGAGGAGGAGGAGGAGGAGGAGGAGGAGGAGGAGGAGGAGGGGGAGGACGAGGAGGAGGAGGAGGAGGAGGAGGCTAGGAGGAGGAGGAGGAGGAGGAGGAGGAGGAGGAGGCCGCTCGCATGGGCTTCTGCATTGTTCCTGGTCCCTCAGTCATGTCCGCCGTGCGGCTGCCGCCGTTGCGCGTGGCGCTTCCATCCAGCATCGTTGCATGTGTTGCACTTCTTGTTGGCTCCTCGCGCCCTGACGGTACGACCCTGCGGTCAACGTCGATGTCGGACTGGCGTGAGGAGGAGGAGGAGGAGGAGGTACAGGCGCGCTCCGAAAACACCGAATCCAAAGATGTTGACGACTCATCTCTTTTCTCCTCGGAGAACTTGAAAGTCGCTGCCCCTCAGGAAGGCTGCCCCACTCGCGTGATCAAGAACCCAACCACTCAGTTGCACAGCATGCCTGCGACAAAATGAATCGCATCGCGATTGGAAGAACTTTCGCAACACGCCTGGACAAAAATGCGTCGCAGCGCGGTGGGAAGAACTCAGTGGCAATCTGAGCGGTCGTAGCTGGCACCCACCAGTGCGCCCAAAAAGTGACACCAAGTTGACGTCTCACAGTTGCTTCCGCCGCCTTCCGCCGACCTTCTGCCGGCGTTCGCCGGCGCACCTGCCGCCAATTTTGCCCACGCCATGGCTTCCGCCGGCTTCCGCGACGGGGAGATGTGCAGAAGGCAAGGCCCTCCCTGGATTGGAGGGCAAGGAGGCAGGACCAGGCTGGATCCTATCGTAAAGTCGGATCGGACCCGATCGCCAACGAATCGCCCCGAATCGAATCAAACTCGGATCGCTGCGCCTGGCTCCGACTGGCCCTGAGCCCGATGCCGCTGAACCAAACCGAAACGGATCGGATCGTCCCAGACATTCGACTTCTGCCTCTTCGATAATTACGGAGCCCCCGAAACGCCAACAGTTTCCCCACGGCCGGCTTTTCATCCCGAGTCGCTGTCTGACGGCCACGGGGCCAGGCGAGGTCCCCTGGAGGCCGAAAACTACCAAAAACCTTCCGTCGTGAGTTTTTTAACGACGCGAACATCTCTGATTTGCGGGTCATGACTCGGGCCTCTGGCGGCTCGTCGGGGCAATCTGGGCACCCCTGGATTGCTCGCGACGAGGCGCAGCTGCTGGAACGGATCCCGAGGCAGGGGAACCTTCGGAAACCGGCGAACACATCAGCCAACGTTCAAAACCCATGTCGTAATGATTGTTTTTCCCAACCATCCTGTGGTGGTGGGTCCTCGTTTTGAAGAGACGGTCCCCGCGATCCCTCCTTCCTTCTTCCCTCCTCCCCCTCCCCCCTCCTCTTCCCTCCCTGCGTTTCACCCACCGAGTACAGCGCTTCGTGGCCCCATAGGGAGCTCCACCGAAGCCCCCAGTGGGACCGGCCACACGCGCCCACCCAGTACAGCGCTCCGTGGCCCCATATGGAGCTCCACCGAAGCCCACAATGGGACCGCCCGCGTGCGCCCCCGAAACACAATTTGGCATTTTCGCTTTCCACCCACCCAGTACAGCGTTTCGTGGCCCCATAAGGAGTTCCACCGAAGCCCCCCGTGGGACCGCCGGCATGTGTCCCGGAAACCCAACTTGGCATTGCCACCCGTACAGCGTTTCGCGGCCCCATAAGAAGCTCTACCGAAGCCCACAGTGGGACAGCCCGCATGCGTCCCAAAAGCTCGAATTTGCATTTTCACCTAACCAGTACGGCGCTTGGGAGCTCCACCGAAGCCCCCGGAGGGACGGTCCGCATGCGTCCCAGAAACCCAATGTCACATTTTCACCCACCCAGTGCAACGTTTCGTGGCCAAGCTCCACCGAAAGCCCCAATGCCACCGCCCGCACACGTCCCGGAAACCCGAATTATCATTTTCGCCCACCCAGTACAACGCTTCGTGGCATATAGGGAGCTCAACCGAAGCTCCCTGTGGGACCGCCCGCATGCGCCCCAGAAGCTCAATTTAGCATTTTCACCCGCCCTGTACGGCGTTTCGTGGCTCCGAATGTAGGAAACTCCACCAAAACCCCCGAGTAGGAGTGTCCGCGTGCGTCCCGGAAACCCAGTGTGGCATTGTCACCCACCCAGTACAGCGCTTCGTGGCCACATAGGGAGCTCCACCGAAGCCCCCAGTGGGACCGCCCGCGTGCGTCCCGGAAACCATCTTTAACGTTGTCACCCACCCAGTACAGCGCTTCTTGGCCCCATAGGGAGCTCCACCGAAGCCCCCAGACCAAATGTGGCACACCCCTCACACGCTGCGTGGCCCCATAGGGAGCTCCAGCGAAGCCACCAGTGGGACCGGACGCGTGCGTCCCACAAACCAGATTTTGCATTTCCACCCACCCAGTACAACGTTTCGTGGCCCCATTGCTACCGCCCGCGAGCGTTCCTCTACCCAGTGCAGCGCTTCGTGGCCCCATAGGGAGCTTCACCGAAGATAATCACAATTGCGGTACCCACAAGTGCAGATGCTTGGGTCCTTCGCCAGGATAAGTTTCGACGCGAGCCCAGGCATCCGACGATCTGATTTTTGTTCAACGCACTTCCTCGACAAAGACCCGACCCCTTCTCGGCGGGGTAGCTTTTCGTCCAGGATCCGTTTTTGACGGTCCAGCCCGAAGACGCCCCCGATGAACAACAAATGCAGTCGGACCCAGGCCAGAAGAACATCCCCTAAGAACGTGGGACTCTCCGCCAACAATTTTTGCGTCGGCGGCTAAGCAGAGGGTGACTGCGCTGGCGATGAGAGGCTTAAACGGGGATGCCGTTGGAGCGAATTGTGAAACCATGCAAGAGGAGGACGAGGAGAGGACGCGGCCGAACCGCCAGCCAGAACACACAAAGCACAGCCAAGGGTACCCTCCCCAGGGTTCACACGAACATCCAACAAACACGAAGAACACGAGGGCACCCTCCCCGACACGATCTATGCCTCGGCCCGACGGTAACATCAACATACGGCACGTTTGTGACGTGTCGACCACAGCGTTGGTTCCAGACACCGTGGGGATCGTTCAACCTTGAACGAACGACCGTTCCCGAAGCGTCAGTCCGCTCAACATCGACCGATCCTGGGTTGCCAGCGGCGTTCAAACTTGAACGCCGCCGGCAACCCAGGCCGCGGCGGGGTCGCTGCCAGTCGACACGACGCGAACCTGCCGTACCCTCTTCCGCGAGGTCCGCGCGGGCTTCCTGGGATCAGCGCTCTGACCCCCCCCCCCTGCGGCGCCTCGGGCGCCCCTCTCCCTGGCGCGTTCTCCGCGCGCCAGGGAGAGGGGGCGTCCGGCGGCCGTCCAGAGCAGCACGGGCCTCCGAAAGCTGTGCGCTGTCAGTCGAAACGCCGTCATAAAGGAACATCATATCAGGAACGAGGCCACATTTTTCCAAAACTTAACTTCGATCTCCCATCGAAAACTTAGGGAAAAGCAGAAAGAAAAAAACGCTGGTCCTTCTTCAGCGGCCCAATTGTATGGGGGGATCTGGCAGCGTGCTTCCCAAGCCCCCTCACCAGGCCTCGGCACCGTCCGAAAACGACCCAGGATGAAAAACAGGCCCTTGAGGAATGGGTCGATACCTCTGGGGGTCTGCGTTATGAGAAAACCAGGTCGGAGGTCCAGGTTGATGGTCAAAGATAAGGGGGGACTATATCGCCGATGGATCGGAATCTGGAAAATAGCCGGCCGACCACGCCCGAAAACCTCGAGCCTCGAACCTTGAATTGTCGTCCCCCCTGAGCCTATGCCCCCCGAGCGTTACCCCTGAGTGTCTGGGGGTCCAGCGCCCCTCCAAGAAATCAACGCGGACCTGCGAGAATTCATGGTCATGCGTTTTGTTGCTCGTCGAACTGAAACCACATCTTCGGAGACTGGGGTTGGGCCTGCTGTACTTGGGGGAGGGCGAAGAAACGTGCACCTTCCATAATCCTTTTGGGCCTCAGGGGGCCCCTTTCGGGCTCCTGAGGGGCTACGAAGTGCACCTTTCCTCCCAAACATGCGATGTCCTGATTTGTCCCAACCATCTTGTGGTGTTGGGTCCTCGTTTTAAAGAGACGGTCCCCGCGTTCCTCCCGCCTTCTTTCCTCCCCCTCCTCCCGCTCATCCCTCTCCCCCCTGCGTTTCACTCACCCAGTACAACGCTTTGTGACCCCATAGGGAGCTCCACCGAAGCCTGCACTGGCACCGTCCACATGCGCCCCGAAACACCCAATTCTGCATTTTCGCCCACCCAGTACAGCGTTTCGCGGCCCCACAGGGAGCTCTACCGAAAGCCTCAGTGCCACCGTCCGCATGCGTCTGCGTCCCGAAAACCTGATGTGGCATATACACTAACCCAGTACATTTTTCGTGGCCCCATATGGAGCTCCACCGAAGGCCAATGGGACCGTCCGCATGCGCCCCGGAGCACCAAATCGTGCATTTTCACTAACCAATACAGCGTTTCGCGGCTCCACATGGAGCTCCACCGAAGGCCCCAGTGCCACAGTCCGCATGCGTCCTGAAAACCCAATGTGGCATTTTCACAAAACACAGATCCAGTACAGCGCTTCGTGGCCCCATAAGGGAGCTCCAACGAAGGCCAGTGGGACCGTCCGCATGCGTACCGAAACGCCCATGTCGCATTTTCACCCACCAGGTACAACGTTTCGTGGCCCCATAGGAAGCTCCACCGAAGCACCCAGTGCCACCGTCCGCATGCGTCCCGCACACCCAATGTGGCATTTTCACCCACCCAGTACAGCGCTTCGTGGCCCCATGGAGAGCACCACCGAAGGCCCCAGTGCCACCGTCCGCATGCGTCCCGCACATCCAATGCGACATTTTCACCTACCCAGTACAGCGCTTCGTGGCCCCAAAGGGAGCTCCACCGAAGCCCCCAGTGGGACCGCCCGCATGAGTCCCACGCGCCCAATTTGGCAATTTCGCTCACCCAATACAGCGCTTCGTGGCCCCATAGGGAGCTCCACCGAAGGCCCTGCCACCGTCCGCATGCGTCCCGCACACCCGATGTGGCATTTTCACCCACCCAGTACAGCGCTTCGTGGCCCCATGGGGAGCTCCATCGAAGGCCCCAACGCCACCGTCCGCATGCGCCCCGCACACCCAATGTTGCATTTTCACCGGCCCACCCAGTACAGAGCTTCGCGGCCCCATAGGGAGCCCCACCGAAAGCCCCAGTGCCACCGCACGCATGCGTCCCACACACTCAATGTCGCATTTTCACCCATCCAATACAGCGCTTCCTGGCCCCATAGGGAGCTCCACCGACGGCCCTGGTGCTACCGCCTGCATGCGTCCCCCACACCCAGTGCAAAATCTCGTGGCCCCGTAGGGAGCTCCACCGGCGGCCCCACTGCTACCGCCTGCATACGCCCCCCCCACCCAGTGCAGCGTTGCGTAGCCCCATTGGGAGCTTCACCGAAGGCCCCGGTGCTACCGCCCGCATGCGCCCCTCCCACCCAGTGCAGCGCTTCGTGGCCCCAGAGGAAGCTTCACCGAAGAAGATATTCACAATTGCGGTACCCACAACTGCATATGATTGGGTCCTTCGCCAGGGTAATTTCCTGCGGGGCCCCCGAAGTCCCAACCCTTTCCAAGGGGCCGGTTTTTCATCTCGACTCGTTGATTGACGGCCCTGGGGTCCAGTACTCGCTCCCAGAGGTTTCAAACGGCCAAAACATTATGTCCTGATTGCTGTCGCGACGCGAGCATATGTCTGGGCACCTTTCTTCCCCCCCCCCCGCACTGGGATGACCGTGGGGATTGCTAAGGGGACACAGAGGGTTCATAGTCGGATGCCAAATACTTGTATCTGGCCCAACCTGGCTTATAACTTGGCTGCCAGTGCAAAGTGGCTCAAGGGGGTTGCGGAAATCCGCTGAATGGGGGGAGCCCTCTTGCCCGGGTTGTCTACACCCACCGTCGGCACTCAAACCGATTGTAACCCACTTATAAGCCAGGTTGGGCCAGATATAGCACACTTTAGCATCAGCTGATTACCCCCCTTTCCACTTAGCAACCCCCGCGGCGATCCCAACGTTCATCGCTCCCCCACTCCCAGACCCCCGACGTCATGATTTTTTCGCAACGTCGACCCCCGGAGCTCTCGACCCATTCTCCGGGACCGGTCTTTCACCCTGAGTCGTTTCCTGACGGCCCCGAGGCCCGGTGAGGGCCCCCAGAGGCCGAACATAGCGAAAAACCGCCCGTCGTGATTGAATCTCGTCATGACTCAAGGGGTCTGGGCTACGCGACTCCCCACTGTGAGGCTGATCGCCTCGCCGCCGCGGCTCCGCTGGCGTGGCGGCCAGCAGCGGGCTGCGGGGCGACGCCCGCCCGCCGCCCGCGCCCGCCGGGGGCCCGTCGGGCGCCGGGCGTATCATGGCGCCTGCTGCCGCGGCGGGGGCCGCTGCGGCTGCGGCAGCGCCTCTCCTCGGCGTCTGGGATCAGCCCAGACCCGGGTCAAACCAGGCCCTGGTCAGTCGGGCCGTGCAGGATCCTAGCCATTCGGGAGGGGACCAACCCTAGGAGGGCCAAAAACATGAGGGCCAGCGGTCTTCCCTGCAGATCCGCCGGCCCCCTTGTGGGGCCACCAGGCTGTAGGCCCGTGATTCGCAGTTTCCTGTACCAGTTGTAGTTTCTAGTTTCCAGTGTTACAATTCTGCTTCTTGCTGGTTACTGTAACTAGTTGATTGACTGCGCGAGGGGGGGGGAGGCCCAAACAGGATTTTCCAGCGTCCCCTGGGCGCGTTGTCTGAATTGCTGGGGGGGCTCGAAATCGACACCCCTCACGCAGATCCGCGGGGTCAGGGTCCAAAAACACAGGGGATTTGCCACATTTCTGAAATTCGGTGCCACCCCTCACGCAGATCCGCGGGGTCAGGGTCCAAAAACACAGGAGATTTGCCACATTTCTGAAATTCGGTGCCACCCCTCATGCAGATCCGCGGGGTCAGGGTCCAAAAACACAGGGGATTTGCCACATTTCTGAAATTCGGTTCCACCCCTCATGCAGATCCGCGGGGTCAGGGTCCAAAAACACATGGGATTTACCACATGTTTGAAATTCGATGCCACCCCTCACGCAGATCCGCGGGGTCAGGGTCCAAAAACACAAGGGATTGGCCACATTTCTAAATTCAGTGCCACCCCTCACGCAGATCCGCGGGGTCAGGGTCCAAAAACATATGGGATTTGCCACATTTCTGAAATTCGGTGCCACCTCTCACGCAGATCCGCGGGGTCAGAGTCCAAAAACACAGGGGATTTGCCACATTTCTGAAATTCGAACCCATCACGCACATCCATCGCAAGGCGTGGTAACCCAAACTGCGAGAACTCCCTCGGCCCTTTAATCGCAAGGTGTGGTAACGAAGCCCTTAAACCATACACATCTTACCAATCGCCAGGTTTGGTAACCCCTCTTGTGATCAGTTGGTTTTGCTGATTGCGACTCGGCTTCGCATGAAGTTTCGATACTGCTTCACGACAGCGCCAACGCCTCATGACTTAGCTCTTCCATGGCCCATTCTCCGAGAGAGGGGGCCGGCGGCAGGGGGCGAAACCCTTACGGATTATCACGCCAAATCGCCGAGATGTATTGTTCCGAATACTCAGACGGGGACCTAAATGAGGCCACGTCTTCACTCTGTTCGGTGTTAGGAAGTCTTGTATCCTCGATGGCCCAAGCCCGGGTCATTGCGCCCCTGGCCCTGCAGGATCCTGCAAGGTTCTGCGCGCCCTGAATGACCCCCGTTTGCGCTGACCGGGGCGATTTCGCCCGAGGTTTCGGGCCCCGTTAGGCAAGTCTTCGCGGAAGCTCATTCTAACATATACCGCCTCGGTTTAGTATCCGACAGCGGCCTTCAGCGGCCTTGAGTGTTATTAACAGACATCAGTGGCCGTTAGTCGACTTTTAGCAACCTCTAGTGGCCTTTAGCAGTGGCCCTCAGCGACCTTTCGTAGCCTCTACAAACGTGCAACGAAGTGCGTTACATATGTTGAGCTGAACTTCCAAAAAGACTCACTCAGGGTTCGGGCCACGGGACCCGCGTAGGCCCAGCCATCCACCGCCTCGGAAAAATCGGGACGGAGGGCTTTTCATCATTTTCGGCCTCTCGGGGTCCTGACTGGGCTTCAGGACCGTCAAACAGCAACCCGGGAGGAAAAACCGTCCATGGGAAAGAGGTCGCGAGGCCGGGGGCCCGTGTCTCGTAAAAATCGAAGCGCCAAATGTCTGTGCATTCATCGGGCTCGAAAGGTGCCGCAGGAATGTGAAGAGTATAGGGCTGCAGTCGCGCTTGGAGCACGAAAAACCTGCATCACCTAAACGTTTGAAGGTCCGCTCGGATTTCTTGGATCTGCGCCGGACCCCCCTCCCTGGCGCGTGGAGCACGCCAGGGGCGACGCTGGGGGCGCCGCCAGGGGGGACCCAGCGCCGACCCAAGAGATCCACGCAGAGCGTCAAAAAGTTTATGCTTAGGCTGTGGCTTCTCCTTCGGGCGAGTTCTCAAGTGTTTCAAGGTGTCGCCGCGCCGTTTGGTCTCGACGCGCCCGAGTCGACGAAGCCGACACCGTGGCAAACCCACGGCAAACCCTGCGCCCGAGGCGGAGTCTGCCCTGGTGGCCAAGGCGCCCTACCCAAGTCGTAAGGGCGGCGCTGGAGGTGCTGCCAGAGGGGCTCTTGATGAGTTTTCGGATTCGCCTCTGGACAGCTTTTCGTGAAAGATCTCCCCCAGGTCCTTGAAGGATATCAAAACTGAAACATTTGCAACCTTGTCGACTCACAGCTCTCGTAAACTCACCCTGTCCACTGAAAACCTCGACACAGAAGTGGCTCAGCTTCTGCCGATCGGTCTGTCGGCGCGGAGCTGGCCGACCCGCCTGCTCACCTCGGCCTGCAACGATTGCTCGCTGCCGAGACAAAAACGCCGCGGGCCTGGGGCGAGGCTGTTGAACACCTCCTGCACCAGGGCCCGCTTCTCGCACCGCCGAACACTCGCAGTCGACCGCCACCTGCCGCGCTTCTGTAACTCCGACGAGCTCACACGATTCTCCAGCCTGTCGAGGGATGCGCCGGTGTGGCGCCCCATGTAGAGCACCGACTGCCACTGCTGCAGCTCCAGCTCCAGGCGCGCGCCCAGGAACCGCTCGCGGAGCTGCGCCAGGTCGAAGGCCCACAGCCTTCCGGCTGCTGGCCTGGTGCTGGCATACTGGGTCAGCGCTGAGGCCAGCCAGTCGCGATTGATCAACAGGCTCTCGTCCACGGCCCCTGTCTTGCTGGGGGCTCCGTCTTCTGCTGGGCGAAGAATGATGGCCAGGCTCGTCATGTGCTGCTGGCGCGGCGGCCTCAAGAGCTGGTTTGGGCGAAGGGCGAGGCGCTCTCAGGGGCGAAGGTACGCGTCCACCATCAGCAGCCAGCACAGCGCGAAGTCCACGCCGTACTTTCGCATCAGAGCAGTTGCGATCCCAGGCGCCACGCACCATGGGAGCGGCCGCCGCGTGCGGCTTGGCACCAGCCGCCGCCAGCCGCGGAGCGCCCTCGCAGTGCGCGGGGGCACCGCCTCGCCACGATTGCCGTAGGCAGGCGCGTGTTACTGCGCCGCCGCCAGCAGCTTCTCGCCCGAGCCCGCAGCCTCCCCTTCCAGGAACATCCTGTCCATGTGATGCACCATCTTTGCATCCAGCAGCGGGGGCGGATCCTCCAGGCTGGTCAAACAGTCGGCCTTCATGAACTTCTCGATGTAGTCGGCGTACTGGGCTCGAGTCTTGGGCAACAACGAAGCTTGCTCCTGGATTCCACGCTGCTTGCTGGTGTCCCTGAGGTCGCCGTACTTCTTTAGCCGTTCGGCTGCGGTCGAGAACTGCACGCTGACCAACTCCTCAGCGGTCAGCTCGGCTGCAGCTTCCAGATGACCCAGGATCGGATGACCCTGGCCTCCTCCCAGCCTCTTGATCAGGCCGGGCACGCTCATATCCAGCTGCTCCTGAACAGGGCAGGCCTTGGCCTTCGCAGCCTTCTTCACTCGAGGAGGCCTTGGTGGCCTTGTCTGAACACTGTTGGTACTCTCCTTCTTCTGACGAATGTGACTCTTGATCACTATCTCCTTCTGAGACACTGGATAACGATTGTGCGCGCGAGGAATCGCGGGGCGTCGATCCCCCATCGGCGGCCACGACCACATGGCGCCTCACGACGCCGGGATGGTTCATCCGCCGGTCTTGACTCCGACGGCAGCCACCTTCCGAGAAACCTCGAGCCAGTGGCAAACGTCCAAGCGGCGGCGCGGCGATGCAGCATCAGCAACGTTGGGTCACGACGACGGCCCTTCGAGAGCGACAGCATGAGCCCAATATGATCTCCGAACACCAAATGGTTTATGCCACCCCGACTGGTCTCCCAAGAGTCGCTTCCGAATAGTGCCCATGAACCCCCGCATCTCCGAGATGTGAATGGCCTCTGGATTGAAGATGGGCCGGAAATTCGCGGTCCTCCAAGACAGCTTATTTACGAACTCATAGGGCACCTCTGGGAACACGGGGTTCGCACCTAGATCGCTACTCTTGGGGTCCATCTTCGTTTCCTCGTTCATGCTCATGAGGGCACGTTGGCGGGGTTGGTATACAAGGGGGTCCTCGACTCGGTCGCCACCTTTGTAACGCCACCTCCCATGCCAGCTTCCGATCTGCTGAATCTCGCCTGCGTCGGCGGTGCTCTCGACCGTCGCGTGCCCGCTCTCGCAGGCGTCGAAGGCCGTGACACGCGGGCCCCACGCCGAACCCAGGTGCCTGCGTGCAAACATCAGCAGGCCTTGCACCATCTTCAACTCGCGCCCCACACTCGACCAGATCTCCCTGGGCTCCAAAAACCTCGAGGATACGAAATCGTAGCACGCCCTCAGGGCACGCAAGAGTTCCCGACGGAGTAAGGCGACAAAGGTAAAATGTCCCAGGAGCCGTTCCATCTGCTTGCTGGTAATCGGCACTCGGTTTTTTAATAGTACTTGGATGGCACACCAGAGCTTCCAATAGCGAGTTGGAAAAAGTTGCGCCATCTGATGCTTGCCATCTTGCTCTACGCCAAGAGTGCCCATGCGGGCGTCCGCGTCGCTAGAATCGCGCGTGGCATAGCCGGCACCCTCCAGGAGTTCAGCGGCTCGCTTCCCCATCCTTCCCACCTCCTCTGCATCGTGCCCTTCCACCAGCACATTACCAACGCAGAGGGAGTGGAAGGCGCCGTTCTGCAGCGAAGGCGGGGGGCGAAAGTCACATGCACGTTGGCTCTCTTGAAAGACGGGGCCCCGCTCGAGGACGTGCTCATGAACGCGCTGCGCGATATATAAAGCCCGCTTCCAGCCCATCGGGATAACCTTAAGCAACGGGAACAGCTGAGTCTCAGGACCCACGGAGACACCACCTATGTTAGTCACCCCAAGATCCTTGGCCAAGACGGGATCCAACCCAAAGTAATAAGACAACCGTTCGGGCATTTCATGTTGATAGAACGCGCTCTGCACATCCACGCCCGAAAAAAAGAGCCCCCCCCCCAGGCTCTGCACCTACCTCGCAGAAGCTAGCTCCCGAGAAAAGATGCACGTTAGGGGGGCCCTTCAAGTGTTGATTGGACCGCCTGCAGTCTAGCATGATGCGAATTGTGTCGTCTTTCTTCCTGACGAAGAAAGGGGGCCCTCTCAGTCCTCCTGCGGCTCAGCCTAAAAATGTTCCGCTTGAGACCATCCTGCGCAAACGCTGCGTACTTGGCTGGCTCGCTAGAAAACACTGCGTCTTTATACAAGGTGGGGATTCCTTCTACTTCTCGAAACTCACGCAACTCGTTTTTCTGCCGCACCCAGCAGGAGCCAGGCCCTGCGTCTAAAAGTCCCAAGACATCCGAGGGGGCCGTGGTCCGAACATCCACCGGCTTGATCCCGCAAGCAGGCCAACTCGCGGCCTCTCGGGCATAGGGCCGTGCAGTAGCGCTGTCGGGCTCCGGCGTATAGCCCGTCGGGGTGCACCCCAAAAGCTCTCGCAAGGCTTCCAGGGGAACTCATTCAGGAGGGACAGGGGCGCTGTCCCGATGCAGACGCAAAACGTGGCTGAAAACAAAATCAGACAATCCCTGTTCACCGGCAGGCATGCCCACAGGGTCATTATAGCCGGCCAACAAATTAAGTGCAATCATTGACTGACGAGCCATGTCGTGACAAGCGAGGCGCCGACGAAGCCGGCGGCAGGTGCCTCGCGAAAAAGAGCCCTGTCGTCGCGGCAGCGGCACAGGAACAGCAAGCGGGAACATGCCATCACCTGTCTCAGGCGCCGCCTCACGCCGGTGGACTCCGCCTCTGTGAGCAGCACGGGGGCCGAGGCGCTCCCCCGAGCTGCATCTCACCCCTCTTTCCGGCCACCTCCTTTGGCCTTCAGAGCGGCGGCCTCCTCCCTCGCCTTGCGGCGCTGCTTCAGCACCTGTCTCCTTGCACTGCATGTCGGTCGCGTGCTTCGCCGGAGCAAGGCAGAGCGCCACGCCGCGCTTGAGCCCGCCCGCGGCGTCCCTGCCCGGGTAGTGTTCGAGGCCCTCCAGCTGCAACGAGCCGGCGGTCTCCTCGCACAGCTGGTACATGCGGCTGATGACCTCGAACGACCCGAGATTGGCCACATCCAGCTGGTCGTAGCACACCCCTAGGTCCAAGGCCAGGCCCAGCAGGTCGTGCATCAAGAAGGCTGTGCTGCTGCGCTCGACCTTGTTCTCGAGCGCCCACTTGGTCTGCCTCCCGTCGATCGTTCCCCCGCGGTCCCGCACATACCGCATCAGCCACATCGTGGACCTCTCGCCGGCCAACGGGAAGTCCTCCATCGGCTCGGCATGCATACGACCGACGGAGCTGGCGAAGTCATCCCACCGTCTCCCTCCTGTGTCGTACTTCACGGGCGACAGCACGCGGGCGTCCGTGCCTGGGTCATCAGGCACCGGCGTGACCTTCGCAGCCTCCACTCCTCCTTCTCGTGGGGTGTCGGTGCCCGTCGCAGCCTTCAACAGCTCCTGGCCCTCCTTGTATTTCCTGGCGAACACGAGCACCCCAGGGCTAAGCCGAATGATGGCATGGTCACCTCTGCTCACGTCCGTGTCCTTCAGCATCACCTCGGTCCCCTCGAGCACGTCGCCACACGTCTCCACGGTCACCCACATCTCATCGGGGTCATCCTCGTCCTTCAGCACCTCAACCTCCCGGCCCTCAACCGCACTGCCTTCGGCCGCTCCGCCCAGGCCGCGGGAGGGCGCCCCAGCGCCATGCCCTTCACGGGCGCGCACTGGGGCAGCGCCGACCACGCCAGGATCGGGCGCACCAGGGGACCTCTTTCCAGTGACCCTCCGAGCAAGAAAGGGTCGCCGCTCTCCGTTGGGGCCTACATACTCTGTCGGGTGCTCGATCACTAAATCCTGGCCCCGCTCCACTAACATCCTCTGGCAGCTGCGCATGAGCTCACGGAAGGAAGCGTCGCTGGGGTACTCACGGAATCTGTAGAAACTGCCATCTGGAATCACTGCATCATCTCCCAGATCGTTCAGCAGCACGGCCTGGGCAGGTCCAGTATTGCTGTCCCTGCACAGTGGGCCCTCCTCATACACATCACCGTCGGGACTTTGAATGAACCAAATGCCTTCCACACTGGGGTAGACCAGCAGGCGCTCGTGCCACACGGAATCGTCCGAGTAGCACACGCCCAGCAGCCCCCCAGGCGACAGCCTATGCGAGAACGCCTCCGCCGCGGCGACGGTCCCGTCCCAGGCGAAGGCGAGCCTGGCGTCCACGGCCCGATCGCCGAGCGACCAGCGCCATGGCGGCGGCAGTTGCGGAGCCTCTCGAACACCGCGGTCACCGTGCGCCACACCAGGTGGCCGAAGAAGCAGATTACAACCTTCTCGAACCACTCGTGGTAGTCGTCTCCCTCCGGCACCTCGGGGCAGACAGGGCACTCCTCGGCTAGCCGCCAAGGGGGTATCGGGCTCGGGGCTGTCGAAACGACGTTGGTCTCCAGCTCCCTGATGAGGTCGAAACACCTCTCGTCGGAGGCGCGCGAGGCCTCCTCCCAATCGGCCCACGTGGGCAGTGGTGTGGAGGTCCACTGGAAGAGGAAACTGTCTGCGAGGCGATCGAGATGCCTAAAGAAAAGGACCCCTCCAACTGTGGCCAATCTTCGGATAGGGTTTGCCACAAGGATGGAAGGGCCCATAACCCGCGAAAGCTTGAGAGAAAGAGGACTACAGAGGAGAGCAAACCTTCTCATCTCAGATGAATCCCATGCAAGCATACCTATCATCATCATCATCATCATCATCATCATCATCATCATCATCATCATCATCATCATCATCATCATCATCATCATCATCATCAACATCAGCATCAGCATCAGCATCAGCAGCATCATCATCATCATCATCATCATCATCATCATCATCATCATCATCATCATCATCATCATCATCATCGCTGTCATCGCTGTCAACGTCACCATCACCCCTCACACGTTTCGTGGCCCCACAAGGGGCTCCACCGAATGCCCCAGTGCCGCCGCCCGCGTGCGTCCCGCACACCCATGTCGGCACACCCCTCTCACGTTTCGTGGCCCCATGAGGAGCTCCGCCGAAGGTCCCAGTGGGTGTGCCCGCATGCGTCCCGCACACCCATGTCGGCACACCCCTCACACGTTTCGTGGCCCTATAGGGAGCTCCACCGAAGGCCCCCATGGGTGTGCCCGCATGCGTCCCGCACGCCCAATTCGGCACACCCCTCACACGTTTCGTGGCCCCATAAGGGGCTCCACCGAAGGTCCCAGTGGGTGTGCCCGCATGCGTCCCACACACCCATTTCGGCACACCCCTCACACGTTTCGTGGCCCCAGAGGGAGCTCCACCGAAGGTCCCAGTGGGTGTGCCCGCATGCGTCCCGCACACCCATGTCGGCACACCCCTCACACGCTTCGTGGTCCCATAAGGGGGCTCCATCGAAGGCCCCAATGGGTGTGTGGATGCCTCAGGCGGTTTGCTCGTTGTCATGCCCAACATCCTTGGCTTTCAGAGCAGGTTGTGAGGATGTTTCAGGCGGGGCGCTGGTTTCAGCACCCCTAAAGGGAGCCGCCAGGGGGTAGGACACGGGCCCGTCCGCGGCCAGTTTTTGTGGGGATGTATCAGGCGGTTTGCTCGTTTTCATTCCCAACATCCTTGGCTTTCAGATCAGATTTTGAGGATGTCTCAGGCGGGGCGCTGGTTTCAGCACCCCTGAAAGGAGCCGCCAGGGGGTAGGACACGGGCCCGTTCGCGGCCAGTTTGTGGTGATGTCTCAGGCGGTTTGCTTGTTTTCATGCCCGACATCCTTGGCTTTCAAATCAGATGTTGAGGATGTCTCAGGCGGGGCGCTGGTTTCAGCACCCCTGAAAGGAGCAGCCAGGTGGTAGGACACGGGCCCGTTCGCGGCCAGTTTGGGGTGATGTCTCAGGCGGTTTGCTCGTTTTCATGCCCGACATCCTTGGCTTGCAAAGCAGATTTTGAGGATGTCTCAGGCGGGGCGCTGGTTTCAGCACCCCTAAGGGGGGCCGCCAGGGGTGCTTTCACGGGCCCGTTAGCGTCCAGCTTGTTTGTGGGGATGTCTCAGGCGGTTTGCTCGTGTTCATGCCCAACATCCTTGGCTTTCAGAGCAGATGTTGAGGATGTCTCAGGCGGGGCGCTGGTTTCAGCACCCCTAAGGGGGGCCGCCAGGGGTGCTTTCACGGGCCCGTTCGCTGTCAGTTTGAGGAGGGGGAAAGAATGGGAGGCTCATATTCAATCATACTCAAAGCTCACTCTGACTCATACTCACTCACTCGCATTAGGATTCACTCGTCTTCGTCGGCCCTGTCGCCCACGTGGACGCGCTATTATAGTCAAGCGCTCATGAACAGACGTTCACTATGGCATGACAAAAAACATGAGATGCACACATGGGGAGCCCCACGCAGTGAGTAATTCCAATGCGCGCCCCAGGAGGTCCCCCGACCCCTTCCTCGCGCCCGCGGGGGAAAATTTCCGTCCAAAATCAGCTGTTCATGGCCCTGGGGCCCGAAAGCGGCCCGGGCCGAAGTCACGATTGAACAAATCGGATCGTCTGGAACCCCCTTCCGTGCGGAAGCGCGAGGGGCGAGAAGATCACCCGCGCGTGTGTCTCCGCAGTCGGTGGTTATGCCTCGGGCGGTTGGAGAACATCCTTCTTCATATTGACTGCGTTCGCTGGGCCGAGCAGGCCAGTTAGCAGGCTGCGTTCGAAGATCAACGCTCGAGCAGCAACACCCCAACAAGGTGCAAAGCATTGGCTCTGGAGAGTCTCTGAATCCACCTCGTCGGAAACAGTACATATTTGTCCCAGCTCCTACACAGATCACCCTCGGCGAGGCGCAGCTGCCAGAGTGCATCCTGAGGCTGAAAGACCGCCGAGGCACACAGAGAAGCCAGTCGCCCGGACGGCGCATCGGCAACAGAGCGTTGACTAAGGATTGGCCAGCATCCGCACCCACCAGTCAAACGTGCGTCGTGCGAGCGAGCGGCGGGCGACAAATCGACGTCTTGAGTTCAAACAACAAACTCGTCAAGGACAATGTGGCGAAAAGCGGAAGGGGGAGGGAGAGGGGGAGGAGGAGGGGGGAGGGAGGGGGGAAGGGCGGAAAACCGAACAAAGCGCCCGAACACTTCGAACCTTCGATCCCAACTGAGATGGGGCAAAAATCGTTCCCTGGCCTCTCCTGAGGTGCGCTCTGCCCAGAACTCCGAAGCGCATCTGGGCGTGGCCACGAGGGCGCCCCAGGACGAGCGACAAAAAACTTCCAGAAAGCGAACCCCGATACTCGAAGTGGGCCAACGAAAACGCCCGAAAACTGATACAATTAGCCTGGCGAAAAACCCAACCATCTGCAGTTGTGGACACCGTCGTTGTATGCACCGCATTCGGTGGAGCTCCCTACGGGGCTACCAAACGTGTGAAAAGGGGTGTGCAAACATGGGTGCGGTGGGTGCATGCGAACGCTGGCATGTGGGTCTTCGGTGGGGCCCCATGTGGGGCCACGAAGCGTGCGAGAAGGGTGTGTCAAAATGGGCGCGGTGTGCGCATGCGAACGCTGGCATTTCGGTTTTCGGTAGGGTTCCCTGTGGGATCACGAAACGTGTGAAGGGTGTGCGCGCATGCGGGCTCCCTGCTGGGCCACGAAACGTTTGAGGGATGTGCCAAAATGGGCGCGGTGGGCGCATGCGAACGCTGGCAGCTGGGTTGTCCGGCAGGGCTCCCTATTGGGCCATAAGACGTGTGAGGGGCGTGCCAAAATGGATGCGGTGGGCGCATGCGAACACTGGCATTTGGGTCTTCGATGGGGCCCCCTGTGGGGCCACGAAGCGTGCGAGAAGGGTGTGTCAAAATGGGTGCCGTGGGCGCAAGCGAACGCTAGCATTTGGGCCCTCCGTGGGGCACCCTATTCGGCCACAAGACATGTAAGGGGCGTACCAAACTTGATGCGGTGGGCGCATGCCAACGCTGGCATTTGGGCCCTCGGTTGAGGCTCCTTATGGGGCGACGAAACGTATGAGGGGCGTGCCAAAATGTGTGCGGTGGGCGCATGCGAACGCTGACACTTGGGCTCCCTGTGAGGCCCCCTATGGGACCACGAAAAGGTGTGAGGGGTGTGCCAAAATGGTTGACTGGTTCGGAGGGCGGAGGCAGGGACTGGAGGAGGAAGGGGAGGGAGGAGGGGGAGGAGGAAAGAGGAGGAAAGAGGAAAACGCGGGGCGCTGTCTCTTCAAAACGAAACACCAATACCACAGGGTGGTTGGGAAAAAATGGAGCAAACCTAAGCCACAACGATGACCTCTTCCTCGAGCGCTGCACATGACCACAGCAAAGCTGCGCCGCAGCGTGAAACGAAGGATAGCATGACGGCCGTCGAACTGCCTCGCGTTTGCTGGCGTGTTCGGGCGTTTTCGCTGTTTTGGGGTGCACGAACACGTCAAACGCCAGAAAACGCGAGGAGCTCGCCCGCGACGGGCGGCGAACAGACAGCAGATCTGCTGCCCCGCCAGCCGCGCCTGTCCCTCAGGAACTCCTGCAGCGGGCTCGGCGACAGCCGCGGCGCCCCGGGCTCCTCCTCCTTGGCGGCGCGGCCCCCCGGCAGAGCAGGAGGCCTCCTCTCTGCCGCTTTCGTCTCCTCCACCTCCCAATCGCTGCATCCTCCGCCTCTTCTTTTTCCTCCGAATCTTCGTCTCCTCCTCCTCCTCCTCATCCTCCTCCTCATCATCATCATAGCCATCATCGTCATCACCATCACCATCACCATCACTATCACCAATACCATTACCATCACCATCAGCATCAGCATCATCAGCAGCATAAGCACCATCATCATCAGCATCACCACCACCATGATCATCACCATCAGCATCATCAACATCATCATCATCGTCATCATCATCGTCATCATCATCGTCGTCATCGTCATAAGGATCAGCATCGTCATCATCAGCAGCAACAACAACATCATCGTCACCCCTCCTATTCCCACAACCCGTTCTGTCCCCCATACTTCTCCACTTCCCCAACCGAGCCCTACACATCCTCATCCACATCCTTTTCGTAACCAAATCCGCCTCGTCGTCATCTTCCCCCACCTCCTCGTCCTCCTCCTCCTCCTCCCCCTCCTCCTCCTCGCCGTCCCTCTCATGCATGGTCAAGCATATCATTCCTTTTCCTGCTCCATCTCCTGATCCTCATTATCTACATAATCCCTATTATTTCTCCTACTCGTCACTCCTCCACCCCCTCATCCCCCTCCTCCGTCCCCTCAGCAAGAGCATCATCAACATCAGCAACATCATCACAATCATCATCATCACCACCATCATCAGCATCATCATCGTCGTCATCACGATGATCACCACCACCACCATCACTAAACTCAACGCCGTCATCATCACCACCATTCGCATCATCATCAGCATCATCATAGCCACCACAATCAACATCATCAGCTTCAACATCCTCATCACAAGCATCATCACCATCCTCGTCATCATCCACATAATCAGCATCGTCCGCATCCTCATCGTGATCATGAAACTGTGAATCATCATCATCATCAGCATCATCAGCATCATCAGCATCAGCATCACCATCATCATCATCAGCAGCAGCATCAGAACTTCAACATCATCATCATCATCATCATCATCATCATCATCATCAACGTCATCATCATCGTCATCATCATCATAATCACCATCATCATCGCCATCATCATCAACATCACAATCATCCTCGTCTCAGCAAAATCATCATGATCCTCATCATCCGCATCATCATCGTCCTCCTTCTCTTCCTCCTCCTCCTCCTCCTCATCGTCATCATCATCGTCATCATCCTCCTCGTCATCATCAACATCGTCGTCAACGTTGCCCGTCATCATCAACATCATCATTGTCGTCATCATCACGATATTGTTATTCTCTCCTGCTTCGTACTCTGGGCCAGCGCGTGTTCTGGGAACCATCGTCTGCCCTATCTGTCCGTTCGCAACGTCTGTGAGCTCCAGATCCTCCGCGGGAGCTGTGGCCAGCGTCGTCTTCTCGGCGCTGTCCATGGAAGCGTCTGGCCCGTGTGCAGTCCATTGGTCAGCACCCTCCACGTCCGTCTCTTCACTCCCCTACTCCCATCCACTCATACTCCTGACCACCATGCTCCTCTTCCCACTCCCTCTCGCTGATCTTTCTCCGGATCCTCGAGGGGTCGAGACAAGTTCGACGCCTGCGCTGCCTGTGCGGGCGGAGTGCTCTCGGGGGATCTCAGGGGTGCGAGACGTGCCCCGCCCCGACGAGGGCAGGGTAGGCGGGGCGAATAGAAATAGCGAACATATCCGGACATGTGCAGACCTAGCTGGGTCGATCCTGGACTGACAGACCTGGACTGGCGGACTTTGTTCAAACTGGCTGGATCCCGGTACGTAGTCCCTCCCCCTGCTTCTCATCCCCTCTGCGTCTCCTTATCCTGCTCCTCCTCCTCCTCCTCCTCCTCCTCCTCCTCCTCCCTGTTACGTCTCCTACTGTCCCCATTTTCCCCTCCTCGGAAGTCCCCCTGTCACTCCTCCCCATCCCTTCTCCTCCCCACCAACATTATCCCCAGCCTCCCTCTCATCACCCCGAACGTTCCTCCCCCTCCTCCTCCTCCTCCTCCTCCTCCTCCTCTTTCGCCCCATCCTTCTTGTCCAGCCCCATCGGCACTTCCTTCTCCTCGAGCCATTGAACCTCGCTCCTCATCCTCCTCCCCCTCCTCCTTCAGCCCCTCCTCCCGTTCCTCATTCCCTATCCCCCTTGTCAATCCTCCACTTTCTTTCCTCCTCCATCCTCTTCATCCTCCTACTGCTCCTGCTCCTCCTCCCATTCCACTTCCTCCTCTTCATCCTCCTCTCTTCCCTGCCCCTCTTCCTCCTCCCTCCTCCTCCTCCTCCTCCTCCTCCCTCATTATCCTCCTCCTCTTCCTCCTGCATCTACCTCCTCATCCTGCTCCTCCTCCTTCCTCCTCCTCATTCCTCCTCCCACCTCCTCCCTCCTCTTCCACCTCCCAAAAATGCCCAGGGGCACCCGAGTGGGCCCCCACCCCCGTCATCAAGGGGGACCCCCGGGCTCTGCGGTTATGGTCCCAGGTCCCTGGCCACAAATTAGCCTGGCGAAAGACCCAACCATATGTAGCTGTGACTACCGCAATTATGGCTCTCGTATTCCGTGGAGTTCCCTATGGGGCCACGAAGCGCTGCACTGGGTGGGGGAGACGCATGCGAAGTTTGCTAATGGGGCCTTCGGTGGAGCTCCCTATGGGCCACGAAACGTTGTGCTGGGTGGGGGAGACGCATGCGGGCGGTCCCACTGGGGCCTTCGGCGGAGCTCCCGATGGGCCACGAAACGTTGTGCTGGGTGGGGGAAACGCATGCGGACTTTTCCACTGGGGCCTTCGGTGGAGCTCCCTATGGACCGCGAAACGTTGTGCTGGGTGGGGGGAAACGCATGTGGACTTTGCCACTGGGGCTGTCGGTGGAGCTCCCTATGGGGCCACGGTGGAGCTCCCTATGGGGCCTCGAAGCGCTGTACTGGGTGGTGCGTGACGCATGCGGGCGGTCCGATTGGGGCCTTCGGTGGAGCTCCCTATTGGGCCACGAATCGGTGTGGCTTCCTATGGGCCCACGAAGCGCTGCACTGGGTGGGGGAGACGCATGCGAAGTTTGCCACTGGGGCCTTCGGTGGAGCTCCCTATGGACCGCGAAACGTTGTGCTGGGTGGGGGGAAACGCATGTGGACTTTGCCACTGGGGCTGTCGGTGGAGCTCCCTATGGGGCCACGGTGGAGCTCCCTATGGGGCCTCGAAGCGCTGTACTGGGTGGTGCGTGACGCATGCGGGCGGTCCGATTGGGGCCTTCGGTGGAGCTCCCTATTGGGCCACGAATCGGTGTGGCTTCCTATGGGCCCACGAAGCGCTGCACTGGGTGGGGGAGACGCATGCGAAGTTTGCCACTGGGGCCTTCGGTGGAGCTCCCTATGGTCCACGGAACGTTGTGCTGGGTGGGGGAAACGCATGCGGACTTTGCCACTGGGGCCTTCAGTGGAGCTCCCTATGGACCGCGAAACGTTGGGCTGGGTGGGGGGAAACGCATGTGGACTTTGCCACTGGGGCTGTCGGTGGAGCTCCCTATGGGGCCACGGTGGAGCTCCCTGTGGGCCTCGAAGCGCTGTACTGGGTGGTGCGTGACGCATGCGGGCGGTCCGATTGGGGCCTTCGGTGGAGCTCCCTATGGGGCCACGAAGCGTGTGAGGGGTGCGCTGAAACGGGTGATGGTGATGAAACGCAGGGAGGAGGGAGGAGGGGGAGGAGGAGAGGAGGAGTGGGGACGCGGGGCGCGTCCCTTCAAAACGAGGACCCAGCACCAAAGGATGGTTGGGCAACAAAACGCCACCTACTGAACACAGCTCTTAAAGAACTGGTTCCGTGGCTTTCCACCGCTAAGGGTAAGTTCTTATGGCTCACTGAATTACGCAAGGAGAAAGGCAAAGGAACGGGAGGGGCGAGGAAGAAGGCGGAGGCGAAGCGCAAGGCGCGTGCGGCAGCAAGGGTGGTCCAGCAGGGGCAGGGAGAGGAAAGGGGACGGGCGCCCTGGGGCGGGGGCGGTCGGGCCGATGGTGATATCAGCAGTGGTGGTGGTCATGGCGCCGTCGTGCTGGCCGCGGTCGTGGTCGTAGTGCTGGTCGGCGGTGGTCGCGGTGGTGCATGTGCTGGCGCTGACCATGGTCGCGGCGTCGGTGGTCGTGGGGGTCGTCGTGTTCAAAGTCGTCGTCGTGGTTGTGGTGGCGGCGTCCCTCCGCTTCCATCCTCCTCATACTCTTCCTCCTCTTGCCCCTCCCCCTGGCGGAGACGACGACGGCCACGACGACGAGGACGACATGTGCAGGAAAACAATGCAAACAGACCGAGCTGAGCCAGACTCCTGGTAGCCCACGGCCAGCACGTGCAGCTCGAAGGTAAACGGGCCCGGCGCGGTCAGGACATGCACGGCGCAGAATGACGGCCGCAGCCTCGGCACGCGTCGCCGTTGATCGGCGGTGCGCCGAGGGGTTTGGGCAGGCCTCCTTAGGCGGGGGCTTCGGAGAAGGCCCACAAAGCTTCTCAGTAGGCTCGGGGCCTTCTGAGCCTTCTAATTTGACCCGCCACCTCTGCTTTCCCCCCTGGTCGCGTCACCGTCTTGGTCGCCGCCGAGGATCGACGACGACTTCGTCGCTGAGGACGCCAAGGTCCTCGGTTCGACCATGGCAAAGTCGCCGATGAGGACGTCAAGGTCGTCGAGTCCTCGTCGACGAACGACGACTGAGACTTTGACGACTTTGACGCCTCGTCGACAAGAACGAGATCGTCGCCGATGACGACGACGATTTCGACGACGAAGACGTCGATACCGTCGGTTTCCGGATGCCCTTTGGGTGTTTCTGGAGGGTCCTGTCGCCGTGGCTGGACACGGCTGCAGCTCGAGGGACCCGCCCTGTGAACATTTCATGCCAGAACGTATTCAGACATGTGCGCCACACGATGGTATGTGATACTACGATGCCCTATCATATGGTGTAATGGGCTGCGTGATACAGCGCGGCCCCTGTTCTTCGCCCGAGACCTCCTCACCGTTCCCGTCCTCCTCGTCCTCGTCCTCGGGAGGAGGAGGAGGATAATGTGGGAGGGATGAGGGAGGAGGAAGAGGAGGAAGAGGCAGAGGTGGAGGTTGAGGAGGAGGGGGGGAGGAGTTGGAGGGTGAGGGCGAGAGGATCGGACCATCCAATGGCTCCGTTGACAGAAGCGGCTAGGCTCCGCCCCCAAGAGAGCCACGTATTACACTATATGGCTATCCCCTGGACCCAGGCGGCCCTTGCCCACCGATGGGGACCCCCGTCCGAGGGTGGCGGGAGCCTTGGAGATTAGCCAGAGCCGTCATTATGATGCGGCTGGTGGCCCAGGTGACGGGACCCAGGCACTCACATAACAAGGTTGGCGACTGTCGTGTGGAGGCTGATCCACCACATCGCAGACAATACACATAAGGCCCTTCGGTGACCAAATGGTGGCCACGGAAGAGTTTAAACTGGGCCTCAGGGGCTCCGAAGTCCCGCAAGAGCCTGACGGGGTCCGAGCAGGCCACCGAGGCCTGATCCCCAGAGGGAACCCCCTGTCGGACCCAACGTCCTCCACAAGGGGGTCCCCGCCTGCACGGCCCACAGGCACGGCAAGGCCACGAATCCAGGGTCTCGCGGCCGACGGAGCACCCGAGCAGGTCAACGAGGCCTGCTCCCCGAAGGGGACCTCACTGTCGGACCACGTGTCCACCACAGGGGGGCCCCCGCCCGCACAGCCCGTGGGCACGGCGGGCCCAGGAATCCACGGTCTCACAGCCGCCGATGGCACATCCGCATCATCCCCAATGGAAGCCAAAAAGCGGTCAGCGGCTCGGAGGGGGACCCTGCTGGCCTCTTCACGCGCAGAGGGGAGCGGAGCAGCGGATGACGAGTAGGGGAGACGGGCTCGGGCGCGAGCCGTCATCTCCTGCAAACGGGTGGGCGCACAGGTGCCGTAGGCTAGACGGGCCCTGCTGGCGGCAGTGGCAGCCGTCGCGCCGCACCTCCTGCGCCGCACGGTGCCTCCGAGGCGCTCCAGGCCGTGCCGAGACTCGACCAACTGCACAGGTCGGGCCCCCGCCGCAGGGCGGACACGGGGGGCGCGAGCATGCGAGCAGCGCCGGTGTGCTCACCGACCGCCGCCATCAGCCAGGAGAGGGCCTTCGCCTCCTCCCTAGCGCCACTGAGCTTCACCTTGTACAGATCCAGCAGGGTGGAGGGCAGCCCGTGCAATCGCTCACCCACCTTGGCGAAGAAATCCGCCCACTGGTTGCCAAAGAAATCCCCAGCGATGTTCCCCAACTGGGCGAACTTCTCGAGGTCGAGGCGCGCAGGACACCAACATGCAGCAGGCCGAACTCGGCCACATCCAGCTCGCACCCCCTTGAGGTCACAGATGTCCCTCCAGATGTCCGCATACTCACTGCCCGAGGCCGCCTGGTGGAACCCCCAAGCCTCGACCTCGCGCGCAAGGGCAGCCAGGTCGGTCACGACAAACCGAAGGTACGGCATGTGCGTCGTGGCCGTCAGCAGCGCGCGATGCTCCGCCCGACCCACCGTTTGGCGGCTGCCTGGCAGCGGTCCGAATACAGCTCGAATGGGGGGGCCCTCGAAGCTGACATGTGCGCATGCCCAGCCGCATCTCGCATGCTCGGGCCAGGCCGCCTCATAGCCCGACCCGCCGTGGTAAACGATGGTGCTCCTGTCGCCCACGTCGGAGGCCCAGTCGCCCCACCAATAGCAGTCTTGGAGCCTCTCAGCCCCAAGGACGTCAAAAAACACCTGCGGGATACCCGTGATGACGTCGAACCTGTCGTAGTCCGCGTCGCCCGCTCTGATGTGGATCCGCTCCATGAGCCTGGTCCTCACCTTGGGGGCCTGCTCTGAAATCGGCTCGATGCCCATGGAGTCCTCGTGCGAGCCAGTCGCCAAGATGTTCGGGCACTCGTGGAACTGGTGGCCCCTCGTGCACGGCTGGGCGCCCTCGCAGTAGGGGCAATCGGGGCTGGCGAGGTATCCCATCTGCCAGCGCGTGGCGGGATCTCACGCTGACCCAGGCCACAGCTTGCGAAAATGCCCTGCTCTCGCACCTTTGACGGCAGCACGCGGAGGAGCAAGGCACTTGCGGACAGCCCTCATCCAAACAGGCGCCGATAAGATCGGAGGGCAGTCCGCATGATGAGCCAAGATCCGTCGCCCTTGCCAGCGCTGGATGCCCGCCTTCAGCATGTGCCCGATGACCTTCGGCGGAACGGCCAGGATGTGGAGCACCTCGCCCACGTCCGTGCGCAAGTGCAAGTCCGAGCTCATGTCCCAGCCGATCCTGCGGAGGCTCAACCAGGCGGCCGCGAGCGGGCCGCGAGCGCCGTGACAAGTCGGGGCGCTCCGCTGCCAGCTGGCCGCGAGGGCCTGTCATGCCCGCTGCAACTGGCTCAAGACCAGCTTGCCGTCCCAGACATGCGCACAGTATCGGGTGACTGGTGCCGCCGTTATTTCAAAGATGGGGTTTACGCACGGGTCCCGCTGCGTGGCCAAGAAGATCGTGGAGGAGCCACTGTTCCCGCCCCCCTTGCCCGAGCAGAGCGCGACCGCGGAATGCCTCAGCGCCTTGAGCTGCTCGTCGGTGGCGCCAGCCACCGCCGAGCCATGGCCCGCAGAGGGGAGCAACCCTGTCCGCCACAAGGCCCGGATGCGATCCCCAGCAGCCAGACGCAGAGCTAGCACCCTCGGCTGCCTAGTCCCAAGCTTGGCGAGGCGGCGCTTGGCGACCGTGCGCCCCGCGCCCCGCCCATGGGTGTCATGCCCCAGGTTGCGCACTCCCTTCCGATGTGGCAACCGCAGAGCGCGGCCTGCCCTTGCAAAGCCACGGGCAGCAGAGCGAGTGGTGCCCAGCCATCCGGACATGTCCAGCTTGATGGCCATGCCGAGGGGCCCCACATCCTCCACAAAGCTCACGAAGGCAGCCTTGAGCGCATGGGCGCCTGCCTGGACGTGCTGCCCCACCCACTGCATGCGAGGTCGTCCAGCAGCGCCCGCGGCCGCAGCACTTCGTCAGAAAGACTCCGGAGCTTCGTGACGGAGCGATACAGCAAGACCGTGAGCAAGCCAGCGCTGTGAGCGCAGCCCGCCAGGATGCTCTGGTCCACGCTCACCTGCCTGGGCCAGCACCCGCACGCCCGAATAGTCCCGGGCATTCTGAAATAAGAGAGCAGCTGCCAGACCAACCGCAACGAATAGTCACCTGCGCGAGCCTCTCGCAGCAAGGCGTCGAGCAGCACGCTGTCGAAGGCCTTGTGCGAATCCAAGATGACCGCCAGGCTGGACAGGCCCAGGAGGAGAGCAATATCCGCCTCCAGGTTGCGGCTGAAAGCCGAGTCGATGGACGAGCATCCCCTCGAGAGCCCAAAGATGGAGGCATGCCTGTGCTGCTTGATCCAGTCGCGGGACAGCGGACGTCGAGCTCGCGCCCACACTCGGACCAAGGTCGACACCAGGCATATCAGCCTGGACCCCCCGTCCTCCTTGGGGATCATGACCATCGCGTTGACGATGCGCTCCGAAGGCCACGAGAGGAGGTCCTCGCACCTCGTGAACAAGAGCGCCAAGGTGTCGAACGCCTGGCCCGACACGTGCCAGAGGTCACGGGGGTGCATCTTGCCCTGCCCAGCAGCAGCCCTGCCTGTGGCTGAAGGTGAGCGTGGCCTCGCACAGCTGCTGCCCATCGAGCGCAGGCAACGAAGGCCACGAGTGGGCGTCCCCAGGCAGAAGAAGTCGCCGAACATCGCCACTGGTCCAGATCGACTCCCACTCATCCATCGCCTAATCTGCTCGAACATATGGCCCCTCATGCTCTCGTCCTGGCCGAAGGAGCTCATGGGCTCAAGCCTGTCCTGGACCTTGGTCGCGCGATGCGCGCCTCCTGCGCCGTTCTGAAAAGCAGCATTGACCCAGGCTCGCCACCGCTCCGATGTGACCCGTGCGTGGATGGCGAGGTGGTCTCCATAGATCGTCACAATCTGCGACATCAGGACCTCCAGGTCAGGCTCCACCAACAGCATGATGCCCTTGGCGAAGAGCTCGCGAACCTGGATGGTGGCGTGCTCCCAGACGTGGTGGGCATTGGCGATGCGCTCGAAGAACCTGCAGAACACCGCAAAGTTCTTCGCCGTGCCGAGGACCCGAGGTCCAGGATCCTTTGCGTAGAGTCGCACAAGCCTCGACAGGTGCACCCGCGAACGCAGCACGTGCTTGGCCCATCGCGCCAACGAGGCCCAAGCGTGGACTCGTGGAGGAAGTCGAATCCGAAGGTGGGGAGGCTCCCAGCGCAACCGAACCCAAGCCGTCTCAGGTACACCAGCACGTCCCTCATGCCGCCGTCGCGCGCTGACATCCATGACGTCGGCGCGGTTCAGCAGCTCGGCCCCCAGTCCACGGAGCACCTCGTCCCAACAACACTGGAGGTCGCAGTCCTCGCAGGCAGCCAGGATCATGCTGTCGGTCCTCTGCCAGCGGTCAGTGAGCGGCAGCCTGGCAAGCCTGGCTTGATGTGGTAGCCAGCTGGCTCGCGCGGCACACGCATCCACAGCACTCGGTCGTCCGCTAAGAATCGGGAACCTGACCGCCGCGTGCACAGGCAGCGGCGATGCCTCGCCGACCTGCGGCGGCAACCTCCTGGGCAGGAGGTTGCGACTGCACGCGGCGTCGTCCAACGCCGAGCCAGGGAGGCACTTGGCGCAGGTGGGGGCCGAAGGCGCTGCCAAGAAGCCCTGGGCAGGCCCCGGCACCCTCGGGCCCAGCACCTCGGGAGCCATGTTCCAGTCCCCCACCGCAATCCAGTCGAGGCCCTCGGCAATGACGTGGCTGACGTAGGTGACCAGGGCCTGGAGGTGCTGGTTCTGGGGGTTCATCCCGACGCTGGTGGAAGTACGCGGAGATGATCACGACCCCCCCAGGCGGCCCCCAATACACACGTGCCGCAGCCAGCCGTCCTGCGCTCGCACCATCCATCAGGCGGCGTGGGGCCAGCGGCAACCGCAATGTGGGTGGGGGGACAGGATGGCAACACCCCCCGAGGTGCCGCCTTGCCCCGTGAGGGCCGCAGGGGCAATCACCCCATGGAAGCCGAGGTCTCGAAGATCGCGTTCAGCTCGGGGGACCTCCGACTCCGCGACGCGATGCCCTGGGCTGCTACAGCCTTGCAGCCCTCGTCCAGCAGCTGGAGGTAGGCCTTCAGCGGCCCGAAGTTGTCGCCATTGGCCGCGGCAAAGTAGCCCTTCGCAGGCGCGGACGCCTTGGGACGCTCCGAAGCCCCAGGCGCCCTAGCAGGCACATCTGCGTAGTTGGGGGGATTCGCGCCAATGCCCCCAGCCTGATCATCATGAACAGCACGACCGCGCTTCCGCACGGGCGCTCGGCTAGACAGTTGCTGGCCACCAGCCCCAACATCCGCAGGCTCTTCTGCTGGCGGCAGGGGCCCACCCCCAAGCCTGGCTCCTGTCCGAAGCGCACTCGAAGTAGGCGAGGCCGCCGTGGGAGCAGAGCAGCGAGGAGCGGGGGCTGCTCCTGCCAACAGCGCGGAGCTGCACTGCACCCCCGCTCCTGGAAGGGCCGCGTCGACCAACGGAGCGGCCCCGAGCCCCGCGCCCCTCCGAAACGGGCTCGCCGAAGATGAGGCCGCCGTTGGAGAAGTGCCGCGCGGGGCGGGGGCTGCGTCGGAGCTGCGCTGCACCCCCGCCCCAAGAGGGGCCGCATCGGCCAACGAGGCTGCCCCCCGCCCCGCACCCCTCCCAGACGAAGCCGCCGAAGACAAGTTAGCCGACGCCGCAGTCCAGGCGGAACTCCCAGCCCATGAGGTAGCGCGCCCAGTGTGTGGTGTGCGCCGCGCGCCTCCGCCGCGAAGCACAGGCTCCTCGTCGCGCCCTCCCGCCATGGGGCGGTCGGTGGGCTGCGCCTGCCTCGGGGGGGGGGGGGGGGGGGGCTCGGGGTGCTCAGCGAGGTCCCCCGCTCCCCCCTGGCCGCGCCGCCGCCCTTGATCCTCTGGCGACGGGGCCTGGCCGCCCCGCTGGTCGTGGGGGCGCGCCGAAGTCCCAGGCGTCCTAGCAGGCACATCTGCGTGGTTGGGGGGATTCGCGCCAGTGCCATCAGCCTGATCATCATGAACAGCACTAATTACAGCGTTTCCATACGGGCGCTCGGCGAGACAGTTGCTGGCCACCAGTCCCGACATCCGCAGGATCCTCTGCTGGCGGCAGGGGCCCGCCTCAAAGCCTCGCACCCCTTCCGAAGCGAACTCGAAGAATGCGAGGCCGCCGTTGGGGCAGAGCAGCACGGGGCGGGGGCTGCATCGGCCAACTGCGGGGAGCTGCGCTGCGCCCCCGCCCCTGGAGGGGCCGCATCGGCCAACGGGGCGGCCCCGAGCCCCGCGCCCTCCGAAGCGAACTCGCCGAAGATGAGGCCGCCGTAAAAGAAATGCAGCGTGGGGCGGGGGCTGCATCGGCCAGCAATGCGGGGCTGCGCTGCACCCCCCACCCCAGGAGGGGCCGCGTCGGCCAACGAGGCTGCCCCCCGCCTCGCACCCCTCCCAGGCGAAGTCGCAGAGGAAGGGGCCGCCGACGAAGCAGCCCAAGTAGTACTTCCAGCCCGCGAGGAAGAAAGCCCAGAGCGCGGTGCGCGCGGCTCGCCGCCGCCGCGGGGCGCAAACTCCACGCCGCCCCCTCCCGCCACGGGGCGGTCGGCGGGCCGCGCCTGCCCCGGGGGCGAGGGGGGAGGGCTCAGGGTGCTCGGCGGGGAGCGCCCCCGCCCCCCCTGGCCGCGCCGCCGCCCTTGATCCTCTGGCGACGGGGCCTAACCTCCTCGCTGGTCATGGGGGCCTGCGGCGGCGCCCTCAATGGGGGCGCGACGCGCCGCCAGCAGGTAGGCAGCCTCCCTCGCGACCTCCGCCTCGCGCGCAGTCCGAGTGCTCCTTGGGGCAGGCCAGGAGGCAGCCGCCCGTCCACCCGCTGAGCTGGTCATCATGGGCCAACGCTCGTCACTTCGCGGCCTCCACTCCCCGCGGCCCAGCTCAGTAGGGGGCGAAAAGAATGCCCGCGACAGCAGACAGCAGGCGGCGAGCAGCAGCACGCTTCTCCGCCATGTCCTCTGGCACGTCGGAGTCCACAGGGAAGCTCCGCAGGAGGAACTCGTTGAGCATCTCGGACGCGGTGCCCTCGACCCTGGGCTTCGCAGCAGCAGAAGCGGCATCTCCAGGAGGAGGTCCCTCCTCGATCGGGGCCTGGCCAGGGGCGACCGCCGCCTCGGCAGACGCGGCTGCCGCGGGGCCCGCCGCTGGGCCGCCTCCAGGCGCAGCGGGCTGCGCTGCCAAGGCCGCTCCCAGTTCCTGCTCGGTCTTGGCCGCGGGCTGCGGGGCCACCTGCTGCGTCTGCTGCAGCTCCAGTCCCAGCCCCGAAAGGATCGCCCCGAGCATCTCGACCGAGACCCCCAGCCTGGGCATCTGCTGCGCCAGCTCGGGCTCCTTGGGCGCGCCCCCAGCAGAGACCACCAAGTGCTCGAGCTCGGCCTGCAAGGCGACGATGGCCCGCCGCTGAGACACCAGGGCGGCTTCCTCGGCGTCTCGCTCCGCCGTGAGCTTGGCGATGTGCGCCGCCTGCGCCTCGACAGCCTTGGACGCCCCGATCCAACTGGGACCGGGCGTTGGCGATCTGCATGGCGAGGCCCTTGGCCCTCTCCATGCGCGGCTTGGCGGCGAGGAGCAGGCTGGCATGCTTCTCCCGCGCCGCTCGCATCTCCTCGATGGCGCGCGTCCAAATGGCCCAGGGAGCGAGCTTCGCAGTGGCGACCGCCTGCTCGATCTGCTTGTCGAGGACCTTGATGCGCGCCCTCCTGTCGCCATCCGAGAGCTCCGCGCCGTCGTCGTCGACCTGCATGCTGCCAGCGTCGCCCGCCGCAGGCGCAGGTGGTGAGGCGCCTCCACCGCGCTGCGCCGCGCGGAACTGCTTGACCTCCGCCTCCGCCTGGAGGCTCTGGAGCAACTTCTGCATGCGCTCTGCCTGCCAGGGCGGCCCCTTGCCCCCATCTCCTCCGCCCTTGCGGGCCGAGAAGGAAGGAGAGGCAGGCGGGGGCAGGCCCCCGTAGCACAACCCCTAGGCCTGTCCACACTTCCCGCGCTGCTGCATCGCCGCGCCGTTCCACCACTTGGCGCCGCTTACGGGGTGGGCGCGCGACCTGCACAGCCAGTTGGCAGCTGCCTCGCGCCGCTGGGCGCACCCCATGCCGTCGCGATGCCGATGGGCCACCAGGGAACCCCTTTGGCACTGGCTGAAACACCTGTCGGGCGCAAACGCCCTGGCACTGCCGCGGCATAGCGGTGTCCGCGAATGCCAGCGCGGGCGCCGCCCGCCAAAGCATAATCTCGAGCCAAAATGGCTACGGAGGCGAGGGCGAGGAGGAGGAGGGGGAGAAGGAGGAGGGAGGAGGAGGGCCTGCTGGAGCCCTTAGTATCCCGTTCTCTTCTTCCCGCTGGAGCCGCATTGGGCATTCGTGGGCTTCTGTGGCCTCCGGGTCTCCGACAGCCCCCCCAGGGCCCCCCCTCGCTTCTCCTGGGTCCTCCGCCGAGCACGCGCCCAAAATGTGGTAGGGGTCCGTGGATCTGGCGCGTCGGCGCTGGATCCATGGATCGGAGAAGGTACCTGCTACTCATTTTACATCGGTGAACGTTTGATGGCAGAGCCGGCCGATGCATATGCTTGGAAAGCTTGGCTGAAAGAACCTACTCCCACAGGGAGCGCTCAGGCGGGTGAGGTCGGGGGGGGGGGGGGGGGGGGGGGGGGGGGGGGTAGCTTGAGCAACATTGCGGCGACAGAAGTAAAACTCTCAGCAAACCCCTGCCGCGCAGAAACGCGCTACTCATTTTACGGCGGGGAACGTGTGATGGCAGAGCCGGCCGATGCATATGCTTGGAAGGCTTCGCTTAAAGAGCCAAATTCTTTCGCGCAAGCGGGAATTCACAGCGCAGCGGCAGGCCCCTGCGTTAAATCACTGGGGCTCGGGCCCCACGAGGACAGGACCCTGGGTCGGCGGAGTGGCGCCAGACATGACCCTGAAGGAGGGTGCTGGCTAGAAAATTACACAGCCTGGAAGGGTAGGCAGCAGCCTTGCTCGTCATTGAACTACCTTCAAGGGTAAGGTGCTTCTTGTTTAGCCTGAAACTGCAAAAAACGTGCTTCCCGCTGCAGCGGTATCTCCAGGATTCTGTCTTCAGAAGATCTAAGTCGGACGCGTTGCGAAAAAGAATATCGGTTGCCTTACGATATCTGGCACCGAAAGCGCACTGATGGATAGTCACCCTCTCAAGGTTCGGCACAGCTCGATTCAGCGACGGGTCAGTCCACAGCCTAGAAGTCTGTGGGTTCTCGCGGGCACAAAGAATATTGTGCTTTCGGCAGGCCCGCAAAACAAGTATACAGGTATCTAGGCAAGCATTTCTCACCTTCAGTTTATATGCATCGAGGGAGGACAGATTGGACAGGCCTCGCACGTGCCGAGCGTCGCGCACAGGGTACCTGTTGCGCGCGACTGAGAAAGCGGCGCACGGCGGTGCCATCAACGCAGCCACCACCCTGCCATCTGCAAGGTGCCTGAGAATTAAAAGTATATTCACCTTGGTTGTCAGATCTTGGCCCGGAGCATTCCGCAAGTCCAAACTGACTACGGGGATGCCCCAGCGAGCGGCAGCTCGGCGAAGCCCGCCGCCGCCGCCAAAAAGATCGAGAACGCATCTTCTCGGAGCCGTCAAAAGCGCCTGACACGCTTGGGGTCGGGCTCCGCTCCGCGCCTGAGGTACGGCGGCGTGGCCGCCGCGTCCCCGCGTAGGAAAATCCCTTCGATCATCCTCATGCAGAGCCAGACGTGGTCCTGGTCCTCGGCATCTAGCTCCCGCCACGCCTGGTTGACGCGCCCAGCCTTCTCGCACCTCCTGACGCTTCGAAGGGTCTGCCACCTCCCGCGCTCCATCACCTGCTCCTGGGTTCTGAGGTTCTCGGCGCGGTCGGCGCTGGCCCCCGTGTGACGCCCCCGATATGGCACCACTGCCCAGTTCAGGTTGGCGGCAGCGCGCCTGAAGACGCTCACGTACTCGCGGAAACTCCAGTCCAGGAGGCGCTCCGAGCCCTGGGGGCGCCTGGAGAGCACCTGGTAGATCGCGTCCATCCAGCCGAATCTCCTTGAGCCCAGCGGGATGCTGTCGTCGCTCTCGCCGGTCTTGGACCGCAGGTTGCCCTCCTGCGGGAAGAGCTGGAGGGCCCGCGTGGCCACCCCGCCTGGGGCGGGTGGCAGGAACGATGCCGGCGTCGGGCCCAGCATCTCTCCGGGGCGCAGGTACCCCTCTGCCATGATCAAGGTTAGTACTGCGGCCATCAGGACACCCAGCCTCGCGATCTCCACCACAATGGGCACCCGCATGCCCACTGTCAAGGGCCTTCTCGAGCGAGATGGCGACGCTCTGCACCATCCCTTCAGCGCGCGCAGGGCGCGCGGCAGCTTGTCGTAGCCGTTCTTCCCGTAGCGCGGTGAGTGGAAGATGATGCCCGCTAATTAGGAGCTCCTCTCCCCTCCAGCTCCTGTGACCCTGCTCGAACTCGCGGTTCGTGAAGTCGGTCAGGGCGACGCCCGGGCGCGCGGGCTCCTCCAGCACCGCCTCTGAGAAGGGGCCCCAGCTCAAGAAGGCGAGGACGCGCTGGCGGCGCTGGGCAGCAGCTGCCTCGGTCACGGACCGGGCCTCCAGCGGTGTCAGCCGTGCGCCTAGGAGGGCCGCGCCAATCAGGGCGCTGAGGCACTGGCGCGCGCGGTTCTTCCCGCGCCGGCGCAAGGCCCTCTGGCGGGCCGCTGTCGCCGCCCTCTCCTCGGGGTCCGAGGAGTCGTCGCTCTCGCTGCCGTCCTCTCCCTCGATGTCCGCGGGGGCGCCTCGGACGGCCGGGCCTGGCGCCCTGGCCAACCTGTCGGGGATCTCGTCCGCCACCTGCCCCAGGAAAGCCTCCGTCGTCTGCGCTCGAGCGGAGCCCACGCGACGCTCGGGCCGGCCCTGCTCCAGAGCACGGCTGCGCATCGTCAGGCGGCTGGCCAGACCCCGCTCCAGGGTCAGGGTGCGCACGCGGGTCGCCTGCCCCTCCGAGCTCGGCCGAGCCAGGGATGCAGTCAAGCAGAGACTGCGCGTAGGGGCCGACGACAGCGGGCGGACGTCCGCCCGGAAGGCGGCCGGGGGCCGACGACAGCCGCCGGCGCCGGTCCATCCGTGGCCCTCACGGCGTCGGTCTGGCTGAGGCTCGGCGCGGAAACTGGGTCGGCCTGAGGAACAGACCTGGAGCCCAAATGGCTAAGGAGGAGGTCCGAGGCGGGGGAGGGATCGGCCTGACTGACCTCAGGCTCGGGCTCCGCGCGCGGCAGCTCGGTGCCCAGGTGGGAAACAACGGTCTTCTCAGCATCATGCCAAGTATCGTAGATTCGGCCCCCCTCGCCCCCAGAATTGAACTCGCCGGGGATCCATCGGAAATAAAGTCGGACATTCCGAGCGAAGGCCAAACTAAAGAGTCGCCTTAGTTGCGCAAGCACCCTATAATCCCTCGACCTCCCCCGAGCAAAACAGAGCGTGATGGCCAAGTTTTCGCCGAGCAAAGGGACGCGACAGTTTTTCACGGCCCCAATGTGCAGGGCGCGAGCTCCGGCCTTGACCGCCGCTCTGGCCTCAAGGCGCCAAATGTCGTCGGCACGCAGCCAACGATCAGAAATAATAGTGCGCCAGCGGTCGCCGGCCAGGAGGCGGCTGGGCACCTCGGCAAAATCCTCGTTGCGCCCCCGCCGCGCCGCCTCCAGGACCCCCCTCGCCTCTCTGTCGAGCCGCGCGGGCCGGCCGAGGAAGTCGCGCTCCACGTCGCCGCCCCCAGGGTCCACCTTGACGCCGGCGACCTCGAAGGCGTGCTCTCGGGCCCGGGCGCCGCCCAGGCGGTAGCGACTGAGCTCCGGCGCGCGCCCGACCTCGGCCACGTCGCGATGCGACCAGAGGGGCTGGGAGACGCCGAAACCGTGGAGACTCGCGTCGCTGGCGTAGACGCAGGGCGTCCACGGCTGGCCCCAGTCGGCCTCGACGAAGATCATGGCCCCGAGGAAAGCGTTGAGCTCCTCCCGAGCCGAGTCCCATAGCCGCTGGAACTTCGTGTAGGACTCCCGAACGAAACGATATACCGTGTGGAAGATCGAGAGGAGCTCCCGACGCATCAGACACAGGAAAGCGACGTGTCCGAGGGCGGCCTCGACCTGCCAGCCAGAGACCTTCCTCAGCCGAAGCAGCGCCCGGACGCCACGGCGCACCAGAGCGAAACGCTTGTCACTGGGCCGGGCGACTCGGGCGTCGCCGCTAAGATGCCAGCCCAGGGAGGGTCCGCCGTGGTCGAAAACCTCCATCTCGTGGAAGCGCAGCGCGTCGGCGTCGAAGTCCCTCTGGGCCTCCGCCAGAGCGCGACCCGCCGGTTCGCCGTCGAAGGAGAGCGCGCCAGCGTTGTCGACGCACATGTAGTGGCCTGACCCTGCCGAGGCGGATGGCCCGCCGAGGGCCCCCGGTCCGAGAGCTCCTGGCTCTGCCGCAGCGCGGGCTGGTGACCCAGGCGCTGGTCGTTCGCCGTCTGGGCAAAGTGCGACGACCACGAGAAACCCATCGGGCGGCTCGCGCACATGGGCCAGATCTTCTCGTCCAGCCTCACAGCCACGCCGTCGACCTCGGAGACGCCAGCGTGCTTGGGCGCGAGGGGCGGCCAACAAAAGTAACGCGGAATGTCGCCCCCCGCCGTCTTCACCAACCTCATCCTGTGGAAGCAGTCCGCGACGTCCCCGGCGCCGAGGTGGGCCGGCAGGCCCTCCAGGAGGCCCTCGGGGTCGTCGATCTCCACCCTGGACAACCCCTCGCCGCTCAGGAGGGCGACGCCTGGAGGCTTCTGGAACAGCTGGTTGGCTCGCCGGCAGTCGACGATCAGCCTGAGCTCGTCGGCCTTCTTGGCGACGAAAAAGACGCCCAGCACGCAGGCCGGGTCTCGAGTGAAAGTCGCCATGCCGACTCTCGCTACCCTCCGCACAAGGCGGCCGTAGGTGCGAGGATCCCCCTGCAGCGCCGGGTCGGCGTGACAGCCCGGCACCCCTTCATACTGTTGAATTAATTCCGACTCCTGCGCGGGCCGGAGCATAAGCTTCTCAAAATCCTCGAGGTGCCCCCTCGCCTCCGAAGGCAACATCGAGATGAGTGACGGCGAGTCATGCAAGTCACTCGGCATAGATACCTTCGAGTACTCGTAGGACCCGGCACTGCATGAAGGCGCCGGCGCAGATCCCGAGCGCCCCTTCAAGAGCCTGGCCGAGGCTCCACGTTCGCCGACGGCGCTGTCAACGTCGCACCAGCGGGAGGCCGCCTCCACGACGCGCTGCCGCACATCAGCTTGTAAGCCCAAAATCTTCTTCTCGGTGGACGCCGACATCTGCCGCGGGGCAGGCCGATGATCCCCTTCCATGCATCCAATTCAGCGCCTCGGTGGCCGCGTTGATGTCTCGCAGCAGCCGTCTGCGCCCCCCGCCCGCGGCGGCCGCGGGGATGCCCGCGACGCTCAGAGGAGGGAGAGGCAGGAAGGCACGAGCCCTGTGGGGTTCGCGGGCGACGGTCGGGCCATCGTCGCCTTGGGCGTCCAGCGCCACGTGGCCGGCGGCCGCGCGCCTCGCCCACGGCCGCCTCTACCTCCCCCTCCTCCTGCTCTGCCTCCGCCGGCCTGGTCGCCCTCCGCCTGCGAGGGGAGACCCCCCGCGAGGGCGGCGGAGGCCGCGGCGTCGGCACCCGGGGCGGCCCCCGAGTGGGGCGCGCGGGCGCGGACGCGGAGGCTCTCCAGCTCCAGCTCGTCCTTCGCCTGGCGCGCGGCGCACATGCGCATCTCCTCGGGGGCGAGGTCCAGGGCCGAGGAGGTGGCGCTGAAGTGCTTGGCCGCGCTCCAGTTGGGATTGTCCGCGCCCTTCGCGCAGGCCTCCACGCACTGCAGCAGCCGACGGGCGACCACCTCCAGGGCCGCGGCGGCCCCGACGTTCAGCTGGTCGTAGCTGCCGGCCAGCCAGAGACACTCGATGAGGCACTCGACTTCATGCCAGGCCCGGTCCTGGCGCGAGATGCCGACCTCGCGAGCCCACTCGGCGAACCAGGCCTTGGGCGTCCCGCCGTGCTTGTGGAACTTCCTGCAGACGGGGAGGCACGCCGGGGGCCCTCTGAGCCCAGCAGTCTGGACGCTCTCCTGAGTGGCCGCCTGCAGCACCTTCTTCCACTCCTTGTATCTGACCCCCGCGTCGTCGCAGTCGATCCAGCACGCGCGGAGGTCGTCGACTTCGGCCGCCTCGGCTCGGGCCGTGGAGGGCGCCAGCGCGGGCGGCCGAAGTGGCCCGTCGTCGAGCAGCCTCTTCTCGAGCGGCTCGCCACCGCCACGGAGCCGGGAGGCCCCCAGCAGCTTGGCCTCGCGCCACTCCGCCACGCGACCGAGCTCGACGAGCTCCACGGGGTGATGGCCCCCGCTGCCGTCGGTGGCGATGCCGTACTCGCCACGCCCACGCAACCCGACGCACGGCGGCTGACCGGGACGCAGCTCGGTGCCGAAGGCGAAGGCCCCGTCCCAGCAGGCCAGGTCGCTGCGCAGCCAGCCATGCCCGTCGGCCGCCTCTGGCAGGGGCGTGGGGGCACCACCGCCCGGCTCCGACGCTGGCACAAGCGCAGCCCCCGAGCCCTCGACGTCGCCGACGGGGAGGGGCATGGCCTGCTTGCCCCGGAGCCGTCGGCCCGAGGCACTGAGGCGCGGCGCCTGCACTGGGGAGTAGGCCGGGAGGTCCAGCCGACCCCCCCTCCAATTCACCGCGTCGGGCACGCTGGGGTCAGGGCCCTCGCTTCCCGTCATCGCGACGGCCTCGGCTCGCGCCCTCTTGACGAGCTCCGACACCTCATCCGGCTCCAGCGCCCGGCTGAAGGCCACCACTTGCGGGAAGCCCGCTGGGTAGCCCTTCCGCCCTGCGAGCAGGGCCGAATTGCTGTAGTCGGTCTCCTGCTCCACGTAGAAGTCGCCATCCGGAGTGTAGACGAAGCTGGCCCAGTGGCCGCCGTCGGCGACAAGAAAAGCCTCTCGTGGGCCCAGCCCGGGTCGCTCGAGAACGCGACCAGCCCCCTCGATCCTGGCGTGGGATGAGCGACCGTCTCGAAGAGCGACCTCGGCGGCTGGCAAATCATTTGATACGCAGGCGGGCCTCGCCCAGAGGCTGCCTCCGACGGAGGTCGCTCGCCCTCCGCGCGCAGCAGCGCCAGGCGCCCCAGGCAATCCCCGCCTCTCCGCCGCCCAGCGCCAGCAGGAGCAGCCAGCTGGGGATCTCCACCGTCGAGCCCGTCACGCCCTCACCCAAGACGTGGGAGCTCTCTGGCCCGTCGCGCGGGCACTCAAGGGGCACGGGCGGAGGGCAAGAGATCGGAGCGTCGACGACCACCTTCGTCCAGGTCACACTGGTCTCAGTCGCGCTGGTGGCACTTGACGTCCAGATGACTCCCACGAGACCGCCCGAGCAACACCCGTCGCCAAGCCAATTGGCAGGGCGGAGCAGCACGCCAGCCGCCAGACACAAGGCGGCGATCGCACTGCTCGTGGCGGTCCCCGCAATCATGGTAGGGTTTTTAGCTTGAACAACATTACGGCGACAGAAATAAAACTCTTAGCAAACCCCTGCCACGCAGAAACATCCCAAACGCGTGGTCACTGCCGACCGATTTGAAGACGGAGCGCGCCGATTCTGCATGGGAACGGGGCCCGTCGCTGAACCACGCGCCTGGATCCACTTTTTCGTCTCCTCGATCCGCGGTTGTTTTCTCCTCCTCTCCCCCCCCCTCTCCTCCCATTCTCATCGTGAAAAACAATTGGGTGCCTTTGACCTGGCTGCTTGGCCCGCGCGGCGGGGGGCGCGGGCGCTGCAGGGTTACGCCCCCGCGCCTGAGGGGCCTGGGCGCGAGGAGAAGAACACGTCAGCGAATTGGTCTGCTTGGCCCGGCCTGAACGGAGCGCTGGCAAAACCTAGTTACCCCCCGCTCCTCCTCCCCGATCCTCCATCTCCTCCATCGCTTCTCCCCCATATCCTCCTCCTCCTCGTCGTCGTCGTCGTCCTCCTCCTCCTCATCCGCCCCTTCCCCCCTCCATTCTTTTTGTTCTGCTCGACCACGTTCGCGGCGACTGCGGCCGGCGCCCTCTTTGTCTGTCTGTCTTAAAGGCCAGCACAACCACCCTACTGATAAGCACCCCGCCAGGCGAAACCGTGGAACAAACGCACCCAGGGAAGGCGTCGAACAAGGCAGGGTTGTTTCATAAACGCCCACGGCCGGCTGGCAAGCGCCAGTGATTCGGGTTTTGGGTGCTCATTCCTCCCTTGACTTTACTGTCGGTGGTTCACAAATGGGGTCCTAACATGTGGTCCTATGGACGAGGTGCTTCAAACAATGGAAATCCACCATTGGCTCCCGTCCTATTCTTAGGACCCCATCCATCAAGACCCCATATTCGAACCACCGACACAGTGCTCGACCACCACCGCGGCGACGGCGTCCTTGGCCCTCTCGAACTCTCGCGCTCTCTCGCTCGGCAGGGCAGACCGTGCGCGGGCCGCCCGAGGCGCGAAGGCCTGGGCCACTCGCGAGCCCTGCGCACACGGGATACGGCTACGCGCAGGAGTGTCCCACACACACACACACACACACACACACACACGCACGCACACACACGCACACACACACACACACACACACACACACACACACACACACACACACACACACACACACACACACACACACACACACACACACATTTCAGCTGCGCCAGAAGCCTCCCGCACCCGAGGGTGCCCGCACCCACTTGACAAGGGGTGCGGCACCCCCCGCGCCGTCCAGCCTGGCGGTGCCAGTCTGAGCCGACGCGCGGGGCGCCAGGGATGCAAGTACCCCCAGGAGCGGGAGGGCGGGGCGAAAGCGCGCGCGCCGTCCGCCACGGCGGGACGCAAGCGCACATGCCTGCGAGATGCAAGCACCAATGCCTGCACATCGCACGACCCCGAGGCGCGCCGCGAACCGCCCCGACGCGATCCCCGCGGCGCGCCTGCACGGGGCGTTCGACGCAAAGCGAGCAGAAGAGCAGACTAGCCACGCGCGTGACGACGCACCCCCCTCGCGCGCGGGCCCTTCGCGCGGGGCCGCGCGCCGCGAGGCACGTGCCGTCGCTCCCCCCCCCCCTCGCGCGCGCAGGCCCTTCGCGTGGGGCCGCGCGCCGCGAGGCACATGCTGACGCCCCCCCGCCTCGCGCGCGCGGGCCCTTCTCGCGGGGCCGCGCGCCGCGCGGCGCAGGAAAGCGGGAGGCGGCCCGCGCGCCCAGCTTGCCCGCCCGCGCGCGGGCCAGGCGCGGGCGCGAAATTTGTGCCCGCGCACAACGCAGCACAAGCGAGCGCGCGCGCTTTCGATGGCGTTGGGCGCCCACCACAAATTTCAGCTGCGCCAGAAGCCTCCCGCACCCGAGGGTGCCCGCACCCACTTGACAAGGGGTGCGGCACCCCCCGCGCCGTCCAGCCTGGCGGTGCCAGTCTGAGCCGACGCGCGGGGCGCCAGGGATGCAAGTACCCCCAGCCGATGCATGCTGGTGCACCGCGCAGCGGCGACGCGCGCGGCACGCGCACCCCTTGCGAAACGGGTGTTGCGTGCGGCGGCGCCGCGGTGTTGTGACGCGCAGCGGCGGAGGCGTGCGCGCGAGGGCGTCGCGCGACGCCTGGGTCGCCATTGCCTAGGCAAGTTCGTCCTCGGACTCAGCTAGATGCGCCTCGACCACGGCGCCGAGTTCGAGTTGCGTCAAATCGAGGTACGACAGGAACGCGGGCGAGGACCATTCGCCCGCTTGAAGGATCTCGCGCAAGGTGCCTCCCCTCTGCTGGAGGTCCAGTGCGTGCCCGCGCCGCAGGTCGTGCGTGCGATAGAGCGCCGCGTCTTTGACGCCGAGCTGACCGAGGAGAAAGCGCAGCGTGCTCAGCGAGCTGGCCGCGCTAATGTCCGCGAACGGCCTGGTGCCCACGGGCAGGTCCGCGAACCATGCGCCGAGCGCGTGGACCGGGCACGTCTTGGTGCAGCGCGCGCACCAGCACGCTCGCTGCAGCACGGACCCGAATTGCTTGTTCTTGCGGCGCGCCAATTTGAGCTGCAGGAGGCCGTCGCACAGAATGAAGGAAGCCCCTGCGCCCTGACGAAAGGCGACGCCGTCGAACGAAATGCCCAGGGCCTCCGAGGGAAGGCGCAAGAGAAACACGTACGTGACAAGAAAGAGCTGCGCGAAAACGGCGGACTCGTGCCGCTCTTTTGCCAGATTTAGCAGCGCGCAAACTGCGTCCTCCCTGATGAATAGGGGCGCCCTGGGCAGGAAAGCGCCGCGCTTGCGAATCGCGCATTTGGCGCGGCGAAGGGGCGTGTCACGAAAAACGTCTACAGGGAGATCGCAAACCTGACAAGCCAGCTTGACGTGAGAGACATAATTGGAAAAGGTCTGGTCGGAGCGAAACAGCAGCGACCACGCGAGCAACCCGTCGGCAGACGGCGGCAGCTCGCGCCCGTGCAGCGCAAGAGCCTCGCGCGCGAACGCGATCCATGCTGCCACGCCGCTCTTGAAAGAGGCGATGGAGCGCGGGCATGCGCCCAGGAGGGCCGCTGCGCGCGCCGAAGACAGCCACTCAGCGACGCTCACTGGGCCTTCCTCGCTGTCAAGCCGCCGGCGAAGATAACGGAGCTCCGCGCGCGGGCCCCCGCCGCACTGTGGCGCGCGGGCCCCCTGCGCCTCCGCAATCCTTGTCTCGAGGAGCGCGTCAACGGCAATGCCCCCGGCGGCCTGCGCCCGCGCCGGCACCGGCCTCTGGACTTGTGCTGCCTCCTGCGCGCGCACGCGGGCGCGATGCAGCAGGGGCGCGGCGCGAAGTGCGCGAACCTGAAGGCTTGACGCGAGTGCGATAGCTTCCCGAATACAACGCTTTTGGCCGCCGTCGAGGTCCGCGCCCAGGAATTGGAAATCTTTGAATTTGGCCCCAGCGAGCGCGGACGGGCGCGACACGCTTTCGGCGGCGAGCGCCGCCGCGATCGCATCGAACCACGCCGCATCGTGCCTGCCTTGGCCCGCGGCTCTCTCCAGGAAGACACGCATGGAAGCGGCGTGCCCGGCCATTGCCGTTCCGACGGTCGGCGCGCGCCAAGCAATGCCTCTGCCGCCGAGCCCTGCTTGCCGAGCGCACGTGGAGCGGCTGCGCTACGCGCGACCTTCGCGGACGCAACATGAAAACGAATAAAACAACTTTCATGCGCGCGCGCCGACGCAAGACGATCTGGCGCGCAAGCCGAACAGTCGGCCGACGGACGCTCACGCGCGGCGCAGCGACACCCGCGCGGCTGAAAGAGATGCCCAGGCATCGGGCTTCGAGAATGCCTCGCTAAGACGCGGCAGCACGACAGAAGCGCCGATCTCGCGAAGGAGCCAGCACTGCTCCCGCGACGGCAAATCGGCAACGTTTAGCTTCGAGGGGACGCGGTCGACGCGGAGCGAGACGCGCAATTGCGCCGCCTGCAGCCACAAAGAATTGATGAGACACGTATAGTCCCACTCTTTGGAAGCGCCTTTCCGCGTGGCAGCCTCGGCACCGACGTTGTCGGACCAGAGGCGCACGCGCCTGCCCGCGAGCGCGTTGCTGAATGTGGAAAGGCCAAACGCGATCGCAAGAAGCTCGAGGGACATAATCTGCGCATCGCCCCTTTGCTTGAAATGGCGCAGAACGCAATCGGGGGGAGCCCAATCGGAGTAGGAAGCCCGCCCGTCGAGGAAGAGCACAGCCGCGACGCGGGGCGGCGTGCTGCGCGCGTCGACAAAGAGCTGCGCTGCCTCGCGCTGATCTGGTGCCCAGACACGGGTCTCGCAGAGCTCCAGCGCTAAGACTTCTGCCCACCATTCGAGTGCGACGCGCAGCTGCTGCGGCACCACCACGCCGCACTGCTTCGAGTGGGCGAACAAGGGCCGGATGAGCGCGCGCCCGATGCGATGGAACATGCCCGAGCATGCCCACATCAGGGCGCCCGCAAGCTTTGCCGCGTCCCCTGGCCGCAAAACGCCCGAGGAGAGCGCGTCGCCAATGCGACCGCGCCACTTCTTGACCTTGTCGGGCGACGGAGTGCACGAGAAACCGCCGTGGTCTGCGCGGACCTGAAGGCCCAGGACGACAAGCGGCATGCCCGCGGCGACCTTGTCCGCCGCGATTGCAGAGGGGCCGAGGATGCAGCGCACGAGCCGCACGATGCACTCGAGCGCATGCTCGGCGCATGCCGCGCGCTCGGCGCCAAAGAGGTCATCGACGAAACGCAGCATGGGAATGAACAGTAGGCGACGCACAAGGTGCGAAATGAGCGCGCCGACCCTTTCCCACGCATGCACGGACGCGACGGCGCCGAAGGGCATGGCTAGGTGCCCTGCCACATGGGCCACGCCCTGCGCGAGGAAAACGAAGAACAGGAACCGGCGATGCATCGGCATGGCGGGAAGCCTGCGGAAGGCCGAGTCAATGTCGGCTTTGTAGAACATGATGCGTTCGCGCGTGCCCTGCGCCAC